TAATGCAAACTGTGCACACAAGAATTTGTAGGAATGTGAGTAGCTGCAATCCTTCCATCTTTCATTTTTAAGCCAACAGAAAACTGTGGCAAACTCTTGATAAGTAGCATTTTCATATCAGTAGCTCAACTTTTGGCATTTATGATAGCAGTTCTTTCTGTGGTAAAGAATGTATCTTGATTCTCCCAGGGAAAAAAGGTATCAAACACTGCATAATGCAAAATCCATGTAGCCAAATTAAAATTAACACCTGGTGCTGAATAACTGGTTTGAGAGCACATATGTTTTAATATTCAGTTTGAGTAGAAAAGCTTACACTCTTCAGAAGAGATCCATTTTATTCTTTGTGGATTAGAATGATATATAGCATTTAGAGAGCTACATATGTGCCCTTTGCAAGGCTAGGCTACATATCCCAGGGCATTTGAGGCATTGCACAATATAGTTAACCCTGAGCCTATTTCTGCTGGATAATGGCATACACCTGCCAGACATCTAGGGAAAAAATAACAATATGATACTTAGATTGGATTCCTTTTAGAAGGCCTCTCATTTTTGCAGAAGATATTTCAACATGTAGACAGTAACATTTGTAATTCAATCCTGCTGACTAGCAGAACTGAGCATCAGAATGATTTTTAAAATAAGCTGTTGCATGCTGGTTTTCAACTCAAGTTATTAGTCTTAATTTGCCATATTACACACAGACAAACCTATACTCAAATCTTCATATTTAACATTAATACTAGCTGATGACAATGAAATCATATTTAAATTAATAATTTTAGTGTTCATGGGCCTAAGTGATCACTGACTTCCAGTATAAAGAATACATTAATATGTTAATTAATTAATGTTGGCTGTTATCTTCATGGAACTATTTCATGGAAGTAGTCTGAGCTATGCTGGAAGAAAATTGTTTGTTTTTCTCTAAATAGAGAGACAGAAATATTGTGTTTGTCACAGTTACTGATATTGAACATGATTCTCAAAAGGTATCAGAAGAGCCACAGGGCTTTGAATGAAGGGTCCATATAGCTCAGTGCTCTGTCTCCAGTGGTATTGACAAGTGGATGCCTAGTGACCAGACACACGTAGCTACCTTCTGCTTCAAGTCTCCAACTATTTTCTCTTCTGGGAATTTCCTGAGCTATTGGTTGTTGTCTGTTTAGCTCTTTCCATGTACCTGTGGAGTTTACCTTTAAATATGCATTTCTCTTGCATTCTTATTCCTTGGCAGGGAGTACCGTAGGTCATCACATATTGCTAGGATGCCATATTCTTTTGTTTGCCTTGAACCCAAGTTGGGGTTTTTTTGTCTTTTGGTGGTGTTTAGAATTTTTATTACAATTAAATCATGGAATAATAGAATTATTTAGGACTGAAAAGACCTCTAGTATCATTAAGTCCAACTATTAACCTAACCCTGCCAAGTCCACAACTAAATAATGCCCTTAAGTGTCACTTCTACTTGTCTTTTTGAGTCACCAGAGACTGAACTGCTTCTCTGGGCAGCTTGACAGCCCTTTTACTGAAGATATGTTCCCTAAAATATAATCTAAACCTCTCCTGGTGCAACTTGAGGCCATTTCTTCTTTTCCTATCACTTGTTACTTGGGAGGAGAGACCAACCCCAAGCTGGCTACAGCCCCTTTTGGGCAGTTGTAGAAGAGAGTATATGGTGGGTCTCTATCCCCTCATGATTCTCTATTCCTTTATCATAGACATTCCACACGTACCATACTCAATCATGGTTCATTACAGCCTTTTGATTATCTCTGTTACCCTTCTCTGAGCTTTTCCCCTTGTTAACATGCTCCTTCTTGCCAGGAAGCAAGTAGAACTGCACAGAAGCTTTAAGTTTCAAGTAAACCATGAATTTATATGATATCAAGGTGTTTTTGTGGTTTGTTCTCTAATCCTTTTCTAATAATTTCTAAGTTTTTATTAGGTTGGTTTCAGCTGCTTCTAAGCAGTTAGATAACTATCTAAGATATACTTCTTTAAGTTAATTTTCTTTGTTGTAGTTCACCTGCCATTTTATTGCTGTGACATGCTGTCTTGTAAAGTCCTTCTGCCATCCTTCATAGTCTGTCCTCATCCTAACCACCTTGAATACCTCCAGATCATCACAAAACTTTATCACTGGACTGCTCAACCACTTTTCTAACTCATATATGGGTGTATTGAACAGTATGGACCCCAGCACAGGCAGCTTGTAGAACACCTCTGGTGACTTCTTACTATTGCAGTCAGTGACCATTGACTACGAATGTCTGTTCTCCTTTGGTTAATTATCTGTGCTAGACCTTCCCTCACTCCTAATTGCTTGAGTGGAGGCATGGAAATAAGCTCTGGAGAAATGCATGGTTAATAAATTAATTACTCAAATGAAAATAAAACAAAAAAATCCAATACCCACTCTCCCCCTCACAAAAAAGACACCCTGAAAACCCCCAGGATTTTATAGGCATTGAAGAGGGAAAATCTCCTGTAGTGCTGAACCATTTTCATGGTAGTGGTCCCTGTATGTTGGTGTGTCCATGACAGATGAAATTTATGCTGCACACATACCAGCTCAGTTCCAAGCTATAAAAATCAGAGCTTTATGAGAACGACACTGGAGTCTTAAGTAGCCTCTTCCTCCTGCTGTAGAAAATGTCTTCAAATTGCTTTTTTTTTTCAGGATTATGTAGGATAAGGGTAAGATAGAATTTCAAGGACTGGGCTGATGTGTGCAAAAATCACACAGTTCTATGGACCAAAAGGAACATTTTTGCATCTAGTATCTGTTATAGCAGCACTGTAGTCTGGTAGATTAGTTCTAAGCAAAATCCAAACTTTCATTCCATGAGCTAGGAAGTGTAATCCGAGCTCCCTGTATGTTGTGAGGTCAAAGTCTACTCACTTGGGCTTTGAGCAGGTGATTTGACTATCAACCTCAGTAAAATAAGGGTCAGTCAGTGTTTAAAGTACCGAGAAATTTTTCCAAGATTGTAGAGATGGAATCCAAATTTTCATGTATTGCTCTGAGGTTGGAATGCAGATGTGTTTAAAGAGTTAACACTGTGGCTCAATCAGAAAGAATGCTTGGCAATAAGAGGAAGCCCGGATTAATGATGGAAAAGAATTCTTAGCATTTTATAGCAGTGGGTATTCGAGATGAGACACGGCTAATGATCAACTAAAAAGGTATTTGCAGCTGTGGTGCTACCTCTCCCCATAATGCCAACATTAATCAAGGTTTTTCATGCAGCTTTCCAGTCCATTCTATTTTTCATTGTCCTGAATAGAAAAACAGAGCTCATGCCCTATTACACTGAGTCAGAGACCATACTTCTGTGTCACCAGAAACGATCATACTTTATTGATTTCTAAAATCTGTACTTTCTGTGCTGTGAAATAAATCCATAGCAAAGCTCGTAACAAAACCAGTTTCATTTTTAAAGAAATAAAGCCTATTGCAACCCCAAACTATAAATACCTCTGGGATGTGAAACAGTTATCGGCATAAATTAACTGCTCATATATTTTATTTAAGTCTTGAATTACATCAAAACAGCAGCTATAATTACAGCATCTCTAAGTCTAGTTTTGGAGTCAGCCATCTTGTTGAAAGCCCTTGGCAGTGTGAAAAGCCAGTGAAATTGTGTAAGTCAATGTCCTGGCTGTTCTGATTCTGCCTTCGGAGTCAGAAGAAAAGCTTCATTATAGTAAAAAATGAAACATTTGACATACAAGTTATTTCCAGAATGGCTTCAATCTTTTTAAATAATGAACCCCATTGAATCCTGACTTCTCAGCAAATGTTGATTATCTAAATTCCTTAAGTAAACTACACGTGATACAGCTTTTGAAACATGAACATGATCTTCCCTCATGTAAACAATCCTCTGCCTTTGTTGCCTGATGCTATCACATTTGGGCGCACATCCTTCTGCATTGCAGGCCCAAGCCTATAAAATCTTGCTATCAAATATCCACCCCGATCTGCAGATGCTTTATGCCCCTGCTTAACAGCCATGACTCATCCCGTTAAAGTCAACAAAGTTACAGTAGTAAAGTTAGGCGTGTGTTTGCAGAAATGGGCCCAGATTCTCAGAAGAATTTAGGTAACTCAAGATGCAGAGAGATGAGTAGTGAGGGAATTTCATACTGGCGTGACTAATTTTCCTAAGATCTCCTAAAATCGAGAGAGGGAGAGAGAGAGAAGGCTTTAGCAAAGGGGACTCAGGATGACTAAATTAGGCTCCTGTTTTGGAGCATCTCCTAAAGGATCCTCCACCGTTCCCTGTAATTTAAGAAGTGCTTTGAATGCTCAGTCCTGGACACCCAGCTCACACAGAAACCAACAGGAGCCAGAGCTCAGGATGCCCAGGAAACCTTGCAAGGAGCTTGTCAGAGCAATATCCATCTGGGCAGCTGTGGCTGGTGAGCTCTGGGCACTCGTGGCTCTGGGCAGTGCCCACAGCAGCGACCTGCAGTGCCTGACGTAGCTTCGCAATCCAACTGCCCCACGTGCAGCACGACCAGAGGCTGTTGACACAGGGTAAAGTTTGCTCTTCAAACTGAAGGACCAAAGTGAAAATAGAAGGAAATGTTTTTGACTTCTGAAGACCTGGAGTTTTAAGATTCTTTTAAACAGACGTTGTAGATAAAATTCTTCATTCTTAAATGTATAGGGCTGAGTAAATGACCTATCTTCATTTTTTATGATGATGTATAAATACCTGAAATTGAAGGACTAGGAAACATGCAGTGACTCCTGCATATTTTAATACATATGGTGTATTTTGAGGATCCTCCAACGGCCATGATTTTGCTGTATTAAATAAAGTAGATTTTATAGCACTTTAATCAGATTATGATGGAACATTATGCAAAATATTATGCAATGTAATGCAAAGTAATTAATGCAAGCAGAGAACATGAGACAGCTGAGCAGCATGCATTTGGGTTACATACTGCCTGCTGATTTTCAAAATTTCTTTCTTTCTTAGATAGTGGTTTCCCGTTCAGAATCCACAACTCCACATGTCAGCTTTCAGCTAGACTCCCACCCCATCTCTCCCCAGGTTGTTGTCAAGAATTCATTAGCAGATGATGGCTATACCCTGGTAGTGACTGGGAAGAAGGTGAGTGGTTCATAGTCTAATCCTCCTGTGCACTGTGTAAGCCTCTGTTCACACTGCTGCTTTCTGCACTGCATCCTCATGGCCCTGCCAATCCCTCGGAACACTGGGGGTGCAAGATTCCTCCAAGATAGATATATTTTTTCCCCTGCTAAACAAACTGGCAGCCTAACATTGAGAAATGCTTAAATAATGTAAGAGCTGGTGATATAAACCAACAAAAGCCAGGAAATGCAAATTTTAAGGCTGAAAACTGTCCCTAATTCAAGTACTTGCAAAGACAAAACACACAATGGCTTAAGAAAAGAATGGTGCTCAGTTTCCTGGCTTTTCTTGGTTTGTGTAATAGCATTGTAACTTTTTAAGGACAGTTGCATGTGCTAGAGTTACATGAATGTCTTTAAAACAGTAAGTCGGTAAGGCTTGAAAATAGCTTTAGCATTTAGTCTACAAAGAGTTAATAAAAAATGAAGAGCTATCATAAATATGCTATTGTCATAAGTAGATATGCATTGAAGAACAGGTTTAAAACATCAGCAGATAATATTACGGATAATCCTAAACCATAATCGTAAGCAATAATTTGACCCCTTGAATTCTATAAGGACTTACAGAAATACATCAGCCATAAAGATTGTTATTAATCATTTACTAGAAATGTATGAGTTATTTATAAGAGTGATCTTCACAAAATGTAAAAAATAAATTTAAGGAAGGTCCTGAAGTATAAAGAAATATTATGCTCTTATATAGTAATGTATAGTAATGTAATTATATATTGATTTTAATATTTTGACAAAAAATAATTCTTACATGTTTAGAGTGACTATTTCATAACTATCCTGATATTTTAAGTAATATAAATTTTAACTTGTATTTTAGATAAAGTGTGGGGTTTTTGATGGTAGGTGTTAAAAAACAAGTACATGGGCAGCCACATGCTGGAAGTGTGCCACAGATACTAATACAGCCTCACCAAAGCTGAAATAGCCATCATGCCTATTTTTACAAATGTATGAAGTAAGGCATACTGAGATACACTGCATAAACTAAGGCACACTGAGATATAGAACGGGGAGGAGCACGCTGCTCTTCTCTTTCTCCATCAGCAAAAAATGCTATCTTGCTGTAAACACCAGATGCTGGTAGTAACTGTATATAACATTAAGATGCCTTTAGGGTTTCTCCCAAGCGAATTTAAAATCATGTCAGTTAAATTACTTATAAGATCCTATAATTACTGAGCTAAAGAGAAGTCGAACTGTGGCTTGCACATCTGAAATCTGAGCAGCACCAGCATGCTATGCATAAATAGAGATTCTCCTTTCCACTTAGTGCATGTATTAAAAGGATGTATGCATCATGTCTCTCCATCGACAGATAACAAAGATCCCTCTGAAGGGGCCAGGCTGCCATCACTTCAGGTCCTGCAGCCAGTGCCTGCTGGCACCAGCCTTCATGCAGTGTGGCTGGTGCGGCCAGCAGTGCCTCAGGTCTTCTGAGTGCCCCAGCAACACCTGGACCCAGGACACCTGCTTGCCTAGGGTTTATGAGGTAAAGTGGTGGACTTCTCACATTTTATCTCTTGAGGGAAGAACTGTCTGCACTCTGTAAATATTTTCTATTCGTGTAATCATGATAAATTGTCAGCTTTCTTCAACTTCCCCTCAGCCTTGATGTCCATGAATCCTCTGACTGGATGCACATGGGCTCCCTGAGTACTGTGGGCTGAGATGCTCACGGATGGACAGGTTTGTCTGATCATCCTTACCAGCCTTGGGAGACCCTTAGCCCTACAAAGGACTTCTGATGGGGAAACAAGATGGGTCTGAGCCAGCCTGGCAGGGGTCTGACATGAAAGCCAGTCACAGAAAGGAGCATCCCTCCTCTTAGGCCTCTCTCAGGGACAAAAGTGGAGGAAAGCACTTCCTGCCCAGAGCCACCACAGCCTGATCCAGCACAGGAGGTCTCTGGCTCCCACTCTTCATCCATCCCTGTGCTGGCTCCAGTGTTGGAGGAAAGAAAGCCTGGTGTTTCTTTGTGAGAAAACTCCCTTCTTTCCCCTACCCAAGCTCCTGGGAAGTTTTTTTCCATAATGTCTCTTGGCTGGCTCCTTCTTCCTGTGGGTCCACTTGGCACCAACAAGGAACAAGCCTGTAGCTGCACCCCCGGGACAGGGGAGCCAGAGGCTGCTGCCAGCCAGCCAGAGCTCATCGAGGGTGTGTGAGAACAAGGCACGGATGAGCAGAGAGCTGCACTGGCTCAGCCCAGATTTAATTCAGCCATGGTTAATGCAGGGTCTGTACTGTATGTGGGACCAAATCTTCTCATGTGAAGTGTGACATGACTCTGAAGGTAGAGGTTTGTAGGGCAGTTGATGGACTAGAAATCTAAGGGAAGGACAAGCGTAAAACTTTCTGGTAGCATTTACTAACACAGTCACTTGTGTTAGTGCATTTAAACTACATCCTGTAGTTAAAAATACATTTTCCCTTATTAGAATACAACTTACAAACAGACATGAAAGTTTGATATGCCAAACTCTTAGAAAGGGATAAAAAAATGGGTTTTAATAAATAATGTATTTCTTTCATCCAGGCATATGATTTCACATACAACAATATTTTTAAGTTTTAATGTTTAAGACAAAACTGCTATTAATCTAGAAAGAAGTATAGAAATGCGTGTTTACAGGGTTGGGTTTTTCCATCTTCACCTTTCAGACACAAAATTTATGATTAACGCAGGCAAAATTCAGTGAAAAAATAATGAAGACTTATAGGAATCAAACCCAAAATGGATGGAAAATGGAAGGGGTAGGGGCAGTTTGCCTGCATTCTATGGCCATTTACTTAGGGCAAAGGAGATGCACAAAACTTGCTAATGTGTAATGTGAACAGTTTACTTTTCCTTTTTACAAAAATAATATGTTTTCAAAATGGTTATATTAGATAGTAAAATAATCCTTTCCAGCCTTAGTCTGTATGAGACTGACTCACCAAGTCAAAGGTATGCAGTAAGAATTAGCTCTTTTATATTTTTCTGTACCTCTGCAGGGCCAAAGTACTCACCTATCCTCCACAGTTTGTTTCATCTTTTCTAGAACTCAAGGATCCTTAATGTTTTTTAATTTGCAAACTTTCCAGCAGTGGCTGTATATTTCCACAGCTCAAAAAATATTTCCCAGGCCCTAAACTGCTTAATTTCTGATTTTCAGAGGGGCTGAACTCATGTAGCCCTCTTTAATTTCAGTTTTGAATGTGTTCACTCCACAGTTTTAAGAACCAAGAGCCTGGAGCCCGTGCACAGGCACTTAGACCAAGAGGTGTGTCCCCCACAGCCACCTCTGCAGGCCCTGTGAAGTGCTGGGAGGGGAGCACACCTCGGGCATGGGGCTGGGTAGGTGCTTCCCTTCCCCATGTGGCTCAGCCCAGCCAGCTCAGCACAAGCCCAGTCTACCCCTGTAATGAATATGGATCTGTGACACTGATGGATCTTAAAGTGAATCTCGAATTACTGCATGCTGATGTTGGTAGAAGTTGCTTCCAGAAGGCTTGTAAGGAAAAAAAAATGCAGCTGGATACTTAAATCCATTGAATTGCTAGCTGTTAAGACAAATTTCATGCTCTACTGGACCATGACATTTAACATGATTACTGAAAAAAATATAAAACAGATTATTCATCATCTTCTGATCTGTCTTGAAACTCACATGCATAAAATGTAAGAAACAAGCTAGTTTTGTTCCTAACAAACGGAGGATGACCTGCTTTGCATAGTAACTGAAATTCAGTCCAAACCTCTCCCTAATATTTTGCAGCTTTCAGAGGGACAGATTGCTTGAGATATGTCATATGATCACTTTAACCTGAGGGGAGCAGATTGCTCCCTGAGGGTCTGGTCCAGTGGATGTTAGCTAACTGAGTCTTCAGTGATGTTTTCCCAGGTTATTACACAGACTGGTGTACAATGGGAAAAAAAAAAATTCCTCACAGGAGGGATGGCAGAGGAGAAGGCCAGTGTTTTCCCATGTAGTCCTGCGGATCCTTTGTCTCTTTCCCCTGCTTTAAGCACCTTCCCTTGGAACTGTGGGTTGGAGAGGAGCAGTGAAGTCTGCCCAGACATGGACAGCATAGTAGGGCAGACACTAGGACACATCCCCTGCACAGCCCAGCTCCCAGTGTGCTCCCATCCACTGCCTCTGCCAACAATGAGGAGTTTCATCAGCCTGGACGAGCACTTCTAGAGGGAAGCCAGGAGGGACTCTCCTCGGAGATCACTTGGTGCTGGAACAAATTGCAGGAATCTGTGTGTGGCGTTCAGGTCACGCTAAAAGGTGAAGGATGTAAAAGAAGAAATAAATTGGTCTCCCTTCTGATTCTTTGTTGTGGTTAAAAATCTGACATGGTTTGTTGTTGTTTTTAAAGTGAGTCATTTTAGCTGGCTTTTGTATCAGATATATCAAGAGCATCAGGCCTCCTGCTGCCTGTTTAGGTTGGAGGCTTTGCTGGGAATTTCACGGGTGCTTGCTCTTGTCTTTGAATTAAAATGAATGGGCTAATGAAACTTTAATAAATAGGTATTTTCTTCCAAAAATATATTAAGTATAGAAGTGGACATTAGCTGTCAACATAAATAAAAGGGAAACACAATGCTTTAAAGTTTTCCAAAAACAAAATTAACTTTCTCCCTTAACCAAAAGTTCAGAGACCAGCGGAATAACGGGACTTGCTCGATGTTATCAGTGGAGATAACAGAATATTTTTTAAATCCTGCATTTCATAGCATTTGTAACTGATTTGATTGTTTTCTGTTACTACCAGTGCAATGTAAGTACATAGAAGAGGCCTACACACTCAGTTCAGAGACCAGGAGGTTCACTGTCCATTCTTGTCAACACTCAAGAAAAAGTCTGGAAAACTACATTTGATTTTCAGACATCTCATCATACAGAACAAATGGAACAAAAATCTTGAATAAAAACAGGGGAGTTCAGTAGAACTTAAAAACAAATCTTTAAGATTTTGTTTATTTATTTTTTGGTATCTACTTAGAGGTGTTGCCTCCTAAATTTGTCGACAAAACGTACTAAATACTTGCTACCTCTCAATTAAGGCACACAGGTTACTGTCACAAGTCTCTTTTGCCATGTAAGATCACTAAAAACATGTTCAGTACCTTCAGTTTTTGTTCTGTATGGCTTTGTGAAGCCCATATTTTGCTAACTGGTGGATTACATTTCAAACTCTTCAAATGCCACATGTCAGTGCATTGTACGAAACATCAGGACCTGCTGTACTCCCACAGAGCAATTTCATTTTCTGCTAGGGTTTTGTTATTTCAAAAATAGATAATGTGCTGAGATACTGAGCAGAGTAGAAAACTAGAATCTGAAGTCAAATCCAGATTTTGAAGAAGAAAACTCCAAAGAAACAAGGAAAAGTTAAACTTGGGAATAGCACAGATTTCATGGGCGCAGAATGGCTCCGAGCTCATAGCTGCAGTTGTGTGTCTGGGGCTGTGTGAGTATCACTCCTTTTTTACGGATTTGTAAAAAAATGCTGTTCCTGCATAGGTTCCCTCTTTGCTCCTTGAGACCTGATTCAAAGCTCTTTAAAACAGAAAAGGTTCCTCCTGGCTTCAGTGCATTTTAAGTCAGACTCTTTGTCTGGTTTCTAACGAGGGCAGTAAATTTCCCCGTATATAGTATATGGTATAATTCTTTTGAAGTATTCTTCAGCTGCCTTTCTATCTACAATAGTTCATTTGTGAGAGTCTTGAAGTATAGCTACAAGAGAGTTGAAAAGAAATGTGCTGTCTTACTGGATTTCCAGATGAAATAATAGCCATGTATCACTCAAACACTTTCCTTTCAGCTTGAAAATTAAGCCGGGTCCTTTGAAGGACACAGCTGTATTGCATTTTAGGGGTAAAATTATTATCACTAAAGCATTAAGATACTTAGGCACTATAATCACAAGTATAAATTCAGTCTCTCATTCCTTTCATTCTTTTTTGTTTGTCTAGTGGTACTGGTATGTTTGCAAAATTGGGCAGTACTGTTGAAAGTCCTCATAATTCCTGAACTAATGTATTTTCTTTTTTGTTGGTTTTTTGGTAGTTTTTGGGGGTTTTTTACTGACAGTACTAACCGGTACTTTTACTGAGTTTTGTAAGACTTCTATAGTGTTCCTACGTTTTTCCCACCATTGTTATATTTTACAGGACAATTTACAATACACACATACACACACACACACACACACACACACAAAAAAAAACACACAAAAAAAAAAAAAAAAGTATTTCCTTTGTAGATTGTCTGTGTTTCTGAGGGGCAGTTTATTTTTAACTTGGAATTAGAGGTGACCAAATGTAAAACGTTTAAGGAAAGAATAGCAGAAGTTGTGTTAACTTTATCACAGTCAACGCAATATTGGATTAGGGTGTCTTTGAAGCTACTTCTCTCTGAACCCAACTTTCATCAAGCTGGCAAAAAACGGTCATTTGGGGGCTCTTTTGTGTTCAGCATTCAGCTTCTAACAAAATAAGTATATTGTATGTTTAACACACCAGAAATAAGATGTGAAAGACAAGAACTGCAGGATTTAAAAGACTATTACAATGCACAGCTTGTTCAGTGCCCCTAAACACTATCTTTCAAAGCTTTCTAGTATGGGTTTTGTTATTTATTGCTACTGTCATAGAAAGCTCATAATGTGACAAATGAAAGGTGAAGAACAATTAAGATGAATGCTAGGACATAGTCTACCAAAAGAAATGCTTTTCTAAAATTATTCCTTTGCCCATTCTTTAGCTCCAAGTGAAGTTCAAGAAAACCTGATTCAACTAACACAGTATTTTTTTAACAGATTCTCCCAAGCAGCGCTCCCATAGAAGGTGGGACAAAATTGACCCTATGTGGATGGGACTTTGGATTCAGCAAAAATAATAGATTTGAATTAAAAAATACAGTAATCCATATTGGAGGACAAATTTGTCCTCTGGAAGCAAAATCTAGCAACAAAAATAGGTAAGAAACCTAAAATATTAGTTTCCATTTATACAGATGTTCTTTATGTGGTGTGGAGTTTTTTGCAAATACAAACATTCAGCCTGTAAGTATCATCTCTGATTCTAAAATTTCAAATTTTAAGAAATCCCATGGTTTAATAAACTCACCAAGAAAAACAATGCTCAAAATGGAGATATCCACTTTATGGCAATAGCTCCTGCAGCTCCTTTTCTGATTTGTCTGTGAAATGCTGTTCAACATCTGTTAAAGCTGGCAAGAATGAATCTATTGAAAGGTTTGAAAAGGAGGCAGTTCCTTTGGCCAGGATCCTGCTGGGCTAAGTTGTGTCACCTCTGTCTTCCTGATCTGTAAAGCTGCTGGAGAGAAGTGTGAGAAGATGCAGGTATTGCGTCATCCAGAGGCTTATGACCCTCAACTGCACCTCTCCTCCTCCTCAGAAATAAGTATCTGAGACACAGGGATAATGGGTTATGTTTAAGACAGAGGTTACTGTGATTGTTATCTTGCAGAAATACAAGTTCAGTGAATAGCCTCTCTCTCCCACCAAAGCAATGCACAAATCGTGGCACAGCTTTGTTGTTCACATACACAGCAGTGCAGATACTCCAGCAAGTGCTCCAGAAGTGTTGAGCACCCTCCTAGCTGCTGTTCTGAACAGTCTCAATGGAAACAAGATGATTTAAGGAGACTAGATTATATATGAGACTATGTGAATGTAATATAATACATTGACACATGCTGCTGCAGAAGTTCAAGTTTAATTTTTGGTAATATTTAATTTTTTTTCAACAAACTTGTGTATACAATTCATTTTTTCTAATGCTATTGTCTGTCAAAATTTGATATTAAAGGAAAATTTTTAAAAATCGATCAGCCATTGAATAGAGGTATCTGTTTTTTCTGTCATGCTTCTTTTTTCTGAAATGCATATGCTCTACTAAAATTATTTTCTGTGGCCAAGTATTATAAAGTCCACAGCATTTGTATTTATTATTAAGGAAGAGAGCTACAGTTCTTCTAGCTATTATTTCTGAAATGTCCATGAAGCACATAGATTGATGATCTGTTTAGTATGGATTCCCCATTATTATGACTTTGAAGTGGTTCTATTTTAATATGAAAAAATCAATCAGAAAAAAAATGTAATCCCATTTTTTCCTTGTTTTTTAAAGGCTGGAATGCACAGTTCCTGCTGCAAAAAGTCCAAGTTTTAATATATCCAGTAGTATTTCTGTTGGATACAGCAAAACACTATTCAATACATTTTCATATGTGGTAAGTACTAGATTAAACTTTTTTAGTCAAAATTAGCTTCAATATTAACTGTTAGGGGCTCCTCATGAGTCCAATCCAGCATGGTAAATTCTGTTTTCACGTTGGCTTTACTGTTACTTCTTGGAAATGTTAACAAATGTTTTAAGTCCTCCTCTTTACATTTGGAAAATAATTTTATAATCCACTGGTTTTATATTTACCTCCCCTTAGAATCCTGTAATAACAAGTATATCTCCCACCTATGGCCCCAAATCTGGAGGAACATTGCTGACTGTAGCTGGAAAATACCTAGACAGTGGGAAATCCATGAGGATTTTTGTTGGTGAGCAACCATGCACTTTGAAAAGGTAATGTACTAACTAAAACACAATGCCTTTAATACTGAAATGTCTTGATTAAAAGGCTTGGAGTTAAAAAAACAAACTCAAACATTTGCTTTCCTCTTCTTGTGTCACTTATTGGGGAATTTATAATAAGCAGTAAGTATCCTAAATTTAGGATCCTTGAAAGATTTCTAGAAGGGACTACAGTTCTCTGGAAGTCTTGTTTATTCTGTAATGTCTTCATTAACCTCATTAAAGGGTTGCATAGAGAAGTGTCAAATCAGCTTCTAATGGACAAGAAACTGCTTATTTCCCATCATTTTTGTCACCCTGATTCCCACACACTCAGCCCTGTCTCCTGTATTAGCAAGAGCTGCTGCTCAAGCAGCAGCTGCCAGGGAGCAGCCAGTGCGCACAAGTTACCATTTCCTGCTGCCTGGCTGGCTGGAAACCTGACCAGGGTGACAATGTCTATCCCATGCAGAGGAGCACGATTTCTGCACTGCTGTCAGAGAACAGCCGACAAAACAGAGCCAGCATCAGCTTGGCAGCATCATGCTTTTCCTGGTATTTAGAAAATTGTTTTGGAGGTTTAAGCCAGAATTTCTTGTGGCTCTGTACTGGATCCAGTAGGAGCTCAGTCATGAATCTCTGATGTGTTCTGTGTGGAAATGCCTTCAACCACAGCTGTATATAAATGTTAAATGCCAAACACAGATTCTCTGCTATGGGCAGATGAGTTCTGAATTTGGTAGCCATTCTACAATGGCACAAATCCTGCTTGGTTCTGTGCTTAGGAACAGCAGGGTGATTCCAGAATTGTCACCTCTGTGGACAAGGCAGAATCTGGCCCAGTGTGTTCCAGAAACAGGACATCCAGCAATTCCTCTGAAATTTGAGCATCATCTAATGATTATGGAAAGTTATAGTGGTAAAATTTCACACTTGTGGAGACCATGGGGAAGCAGTAGCCTATTAGTTAACACAAGATTCAGAGTCAGGAGAGATGAAATTTATTCTTTACTGCTGAATGATTTATTGTATGCTCTTGATCAAATCGGCCAAGTCTGACTAAATAAAGAAAAAGGATTTATATATTCAAGTCTGATCACTAAAAATATCTTAATCATTTCTGTTCCTTAATAGTTAGGGTTGCATTTCTTGGTGTCTTTGTCAACTAATGGAGAAATATATAAACCTTTTGGGAATGATTGATCCGAGACATCTACTATGGAGGTGGGCCAGCAGCCAGCTCAGGTGCAGATGTTGGTCAGGTGGACCTCTAGGTATTGAACAATAGCTGAGACTTTCCCAGTATGCATCACCAGTACCCCTCTTTCTCACTAGCCAAGTTGCCTGGAGACTTCTAGGCAGGTCTTAACCAATTTCTCAAGGCAGGTGTTTCTCTAGCTAAACAGGCAACTTTCCCCAGTTCTGAGGGCAGTTAGGGCAAGGTTTATTTTTTCCTTTAAGAGATGTTAAAAAGCTTCCTGATACAGATGAATGAATTGCTGTCCCTTATGGGGAACCCCACCTTCCTGGAATGCTTCAGAGGTTGTAGCAAATGTCCCTTTTGTCTAATTTGGAGACCATCTCTTATATTCTAAGAGAACAACCTCACTTGGATGGCCCATGGATGTGCTTAGGGCCAAATCACTGAAACCACTGTAAAGTTACATTTGCTTCTCCAGTCAGTTGCCACCCTTGTCTCTGATGTGCCCTGCTCCCTCTGGCCACATTTCACGTGCTTCAAACTTCAGGATCCTCCTGCTGTCCACTCAGCCATGGAGCTCAGTGTAGGAGGAAGAGGACTTCCATGGCCAAGCATGATAGCAAGGGAAAGGTGGATATCCCAGAGACTCTGCTGAATTCAGCCAGCTCTTCTTGAATTTTCTCCTTCTTTCTCCTTGCCCTCTGCCTGCCCCTCAGCATCTGGTACATCCCAGAAGAGCACCCTTACTTGAGTCTTTTAACACAGAGTAACTCCTGTGGATTTGGAAGAGGCATTTATCCTTTGGTTATAGCAGATCAAGTCATTCTCCTTAAACCTGAAGTGTGCTCTTGTTTTCCAGGCTGGAAGCTGCCTTTGCAGGGCTCAGGGGCTCATGAGGTTGTCACCAGTACCGGGGTAACACCTTCCATCAGGCAAGGTGCAAGTCAACTGAATTAAGATTAATCTTGAGCTTCAGCCATGCTGTTGCAATTTGATTATCCAGCAGGAAAATCAATGGCATTTTTTTTACAAACAGATCCTTAGGCAACGTTGGGGCTCAGTAAAGGACAGTGTTTTAAGCAAAGTACATGTTTTATAATGGTGACAAGCAATCTGTTTTCAGTCCTCCCAGCATATCGGCGAGCACTGTGGAGTGCTACACTCCAGCACAGCAAATTCCCCAGGAATATCGTGTGAGAATGGAAATCGATGAAGCTATTCGAGACACAAGCAGCCATTTCACATACAGAGAAGACCCAGTTGTTTTAAAAATTCATCCAGCCAAATCTTTTCTTAGGTGAGTAAAATTTTCTTATAGAAATAAGCAACAAATGAACAAAGAACGGCTATGCTGCTCAGCAATCTATCAAAAGAAATTGCATTTTTATCTCTATCTTCCATGCCAATTGTTTCTATTATGGTGCAGTTGCAGAGGGCAAATCATTTCCTTTCAGAGGTGAAGGAGAAGGGGGAAGGGTGCTTCTTTTCTCTTTGTGATTTCACTCCCAGCTGCTGCTGAGCCTACCTGTGATGTCCTGCTGAGATACCCACTGCACTGCTAAGTGTGTCTCCTATGCTGTGTCTGGACATTACACTGATTGCTGAGGAAAATCATTTAATGTGACAAGTCAGCGGACTCAGGAGAGCAAATGGATTTTAAAATAGTCTAAATCCAGTGCTATATAAACATTATGAATGTATATGCATGGTAGTATGTGTGTGTTTTCAAGTGACATATTTATGGTCTCAGTAGCTCTAATCCAAGCCATCTGCCTTTGCCAAAAAAATGTCAGCAGTAAAACAGACACCTTTTTCAGCACCACTGCACGCAATAGGTGAAATAAGTTGGTTAGCAAATGCAAAGTAGAAAAAAGTGAACTCTTTTAAAATTTACACATTTGTTTTATACCCTGGCTTATCACAGTTTTAAAGATTATTTTTCTTTTCTTTTTTTTAATTAGTTGTTATACTAAATGTAAAATCTGTTTCCCAGAAAAATTATCTCAGTGCTCATAGCTATGTATTTGTATTTATCCAATATATATCCCTAATTCTGGTTTTATGTTATCATTTACTCTAAAATATAATTTGTAATTAACATTACATTATCACAGCAGTTATTTATCCTACTTATCTTCTCTTTTTCTTTTCCTTCCTATTTTTTTTTTTCTTCTTTTGGTAAATTTTCCTAGTGGTGGAAGTACAATCACAGCTCAGGGAATCAACTTGAACTCAGTGTGCTTTCCTCAGATGGTGATTACTGTACCTAAACTAGGAATGAACTTCTCTGTGGTGAGTCAGTCTTAGAGAAGACTATCTGTTATCTTTTCATCTTGGTGTGGTGAATGGTTGTGAATCTTCATCCAAAATACTTTGACTTTTGCCTTGAAACTTTGAGGCTTCTACTGATATTTTGGTGTTTTCTGCAAAGCCTGTTTTCACTGTACAGGAAAAATTCAAAACAAAGTTGAAGTTAAGGTGAGGATAAAACAACTATTTCCAATAAATCTTTTCCAAAGAAATAAGGCTAGTGCAGTATCTGGTAAGAAGATTTATATATTTCAATTGAACAATACAAATTCAGTGACTAAACACACAGCAGTGCAATACAGATATGTCAGATTACATGACAAGTTCAGGCACTACTGTGATGCTCAAGTGGTGACTGTGGGTATATATCAAAGGAGGAGGAAGAGTAAATATATAAAATCAAAAGTAGGTATTATTTTTAAGAATTTCTGATTGCCAAAATCCCTGTTAGGGAAATATGTCCTAACTTTGATAAGTTCAGCAACTAAGTTTTAAGATGGGTTTGGGCTCTTGCAATTGGGTACCTCTGATTAAACAGCAGGTGTCAGTCAGAGATGTAAGTCTTCTTTTTTTTTTTGTCCCTGAGTTGACACTACACAGTGTCCAAATCTAAACACAGATATGACTATGTGATCTGCTTTAATTCTTACAGGGCAAAGATGGCATTTGTCATCTAGTTTTACTGAAACTGCCCTCTGTAAGCTTTTGCCTACACGTTTGTGTTGTACCTCCAACATTTTCTTATCCTGTAAGGTTTGTTTAGTCTAAGTGAAGCTAAATTGACCTACACTCTTTATGACATGCTACTTACTGTTCGTATTCTCAGCTTATTTCTAATGATCATCATACACTGTTTCCTGAATTGAATTCTAACTATTAGACCTAGGTTTGCTCAATGCATTTTAAATGGTATGTCTGCAAATTTGCAGTCTTTCATAGCTTCAAGGTCATCATATTCTTCATGATCCTAATTTGTATAATATTATGAGTGTCAGGACCTGGATTTCCGCAGCATGTAGTCGTGGCATGTAATTTAATGGGTTCAGATTTAATCTAAAAATCGGTTCCTTTCCAATGAAACACAGTTTTAAGTGTTATCAAAAAGTCATTTTACTCATCAGTCAGAAAATAAAATCTTTCAGTGAAATCTACCAAACTCAAAATTTATTAGATTTTGAGTAATGTGAGCATAATTATTTCTAAGCACAAAGAATTTTGAAGGAAAAGATGTTGCTGAAATCAAGTATTGAGATTTTGCTTTGCATAAAGATCATTTGTTTGCTTTTTCTATTCCCCTGTGGGAATATGCAGTATTGCTTCTCTTCAGGCCCTGATACTGCATACCTTGTCAAATATGTAGGACTTCTTAGAATCTGAAGAGATTTGAAAGATCTGGAGTTTTAAAGAAAGTACACTGTCAAAAGTGACTGGCAACTCCAGGCAATAAACACCATAGAATTTACTCTTTCCCCCAAATATTGGGGAGTAGTCTTGCCTTTGAGCAGTGTTTTGCTTTCTCATCCTGCCTCTAACCTGCTGTTGAAAAAAGATATGGACTTAGTCAGTCAGAATTATCTCCTTTATTCTTTTTCTTTTCATACCGTGCATTTGCCAACAAACAAATCTCCTGCCACTGCTCTCTAATCAAATCTCCTGCACTGATCTCTAAGAAATTGCCCCAGTGTATGAGCAGCTGTACACAAGTTCATTCTCCCTGCACAAAAGGTGGACTATAACCCCAAATGGATTATAATCCAGAGTGGTTTTTACTTTGACATTGCCCAAGCAATATATTTTTGCTCTATTGAAATTAAAGGCTTCTGGCACTCAGTTGCCTTCTCTGCCTCTGTGGCATCCAATTTTTCTGCCACTATTCTCTACCTCAAGCATATTTCTAAAGGAAGAGTATTAATTCTCAGGTAGAAAGGGAAGATTTATAAGTGGCAAAACAAGACTGTACTGTGTAAATGAGGAAATTTCTGGTGGAGGATGCTTATGGCTGTAGTCCTACTCATCCTGCACTGGAAGTTCTGGGCTCTCTGCAGGGGAGATATACCAAAAACCCCCAACATTTCATCTAGTCATTATTAAAATAAACAACAATGAGGAACTATTTCCAGCACAGATACAGACCAACTATCCAATTTATAAAGGAGAGGACAGGTTGTTTCCCTGACCAGACCAGAGAAGTGTTCAAGAAGTGCTATAGCTGAGGTTATGTGTCTTTTTGCTTCCTTAGTTTGGGAGAGGATAGATAAATGAATCATTTTTTTTAATTGTTATTTAAGCCCATTTTCTTTTCAGTTTTCTCTTACTAGCCTCCTTCAAGAAGCTGCTTTTGTCAGCATTCAGAAACTCTGGCTCTTGGGAAAACCAAAGCCAGCACTGAAACACATCCCAAAGCATCAAAGGAAAGTGCAGCTGGGAGGGACCACAAGAGCCAAGCATGGCCCACTTCCCTGTGCCAGGAGCAAATGTACCCAGACCACTGCCTAACAGATACTTGTTTAGGCTGTTATTAAAGCTCCTTGTGAAAGAAATTTCACAATCTTGCTTAAACAAGCTTTAGAGAGAGCTGCTCTACCTGCTTACCTAGTGGTTTGGAAAGACTTCTTTCTAATAATTAACCCAAATCCTGTGGCTAATTACCTATCTTCTTGTTTAACCCTCTGTGGATACAAGCAACAGATTATCAGTCTTTCCAGCTAATTTTATATACTTGCACTAAATTATGATTCAGCCTTTCTCTTTTCCAGTTAAAACAACCAAACTAATCCAAATTCTCCTGATAAGTGTTGTTTCCTACAGCTCTCCTCATTCTTTCTCCACCTCCCAGACCCTTTTCCATTTGACTAAAGCTGGTGGTGCCCAGTTTAAAATGGGTCTCACCTTTTCCTGTCAGCTCTCTGTCCTCAGGTTTAATTGTGGCCTAGAGTCCTGATGGAGTCACAGTGTAGGTGGAGAGTCATTTCTGCAAACAGCAGGAGCTGTTGGGGATGCTCTGCATCCCAAAGTCTCAGGGAGCAGTGCCAGCAGACATGCCCTGGGGCATTTGCTTTTCTCTGCTGCTTTCCATCCCAGTGGTAGAGGTGAGTGGTACAACTGATACAAAAGTTTTTCTGAAAGAACTTCCTATAAGAAGTTTCACTCAGTTTCACTGAGACTGAAAAGTTTTGGGCACAGTATGCCAGCCCCCTGTAGAAGAAACATTTAAGTTGAGCTTTTCAGCTTTCATGTTTGTAGTTTAGTATCTCTCAAAATTTTTCTTATATAGAGCAAAAAATCCCTTGTTTCCATTTTACAGTATTCTTTTCATATTTATTTAAATTTCCTTAAAATTGTTCAGTACTGTGTTCACACTTGTTGTATTTATATTACATTTTATGTTAATGCTGTCAAAATAATACATTTTGCCTTCTTTGAATTTATTTCAATGAGTGAAAAAATGTATTGAACCATATGTTTCAATAATTGCAATGTGTTTCTTTTTGATTTCTATTTCATGAGTTCTTTTGATCATTTGTTCTGACTAAGGAGAAAAAAAAAGAAGGAATTTAGGCAGTGCTGCATAAATACCCAAGGCAGAGTTTGGAATAGTATTTGATCAGGAACCTGTGCTGTAAGTCATGCTGGATGACTCTTCTGCTTCTGAAGCACTTGGGAGTAATGTTTTTTTTCTTTGAAAGCCTGTAGTTTGCATTGATTCTCCCCAAGTGAACAAGTGGTCATTTGGGGATCCTTTCTCATAGCATTTTTAATATTCCATCTATTAACTGATTTGGATATATATTCCCACTGCCTAATCTCTTCTAATAATGAATGTCCCAAGATATGCAAGGCTGCAAAACTAAGAAGCAGCATTGTTTCATACATGACTTTCAACAACTGACTCTGTAGCTATGCAAGATCTTCTCTTTCCAAAGACTTTTAATTATCTCTTCAGTAAGTAGTTTTTGAATGTTCTTCAGCATTTTCAAATTTTTGCCTGCCAGGTGCCATTTCCTGCTGTTTTACAGGAGAATTTTAAAATACTCTAAAGTTCATTCAATATTTACAAGTCTGTAAGCAATCCATACTCATATTCATCAAGATGCCTAGAATTCAGCAGTGAGCGTCTACCTTAGATGTATGAAATAATGATAAAACAAATTCCCTGTAAAGTGTGGGTAGTGAGTGTGTGATTATTGAAGATATTCATGATTTCCTATCCGAAGACACCTAGGCTTGGATCCTCTGTCTCTCTTGACTCCATGGCACAAAGCTGCCACAGAATCCCAGTGAAGAGTTCGCCCACAAACAGGAAAATTCGTCTTTCTTTCTGTGCCAAACCTGTAGCTCACACACATCTCCTGCCAAGAAAAGGGTATGTCAGGGGAAAGGCTGTGTGAAATCACCAGGGTGCCAGGGATGCAGTGCTACAAGGAACATTGACCATCCCAAGCCCAGGGAGGAATTTGGACTCCCAGTCAGTATTGATCATGTTGTGCAGAGGGCTGGCTCTCAGATGCAAGAGCAAGAGACATTTTACTCTACCTTCTGGTCTCATGATCTGGTAGACTAGAGGTATCATCTCTCATGCCTTCCCCCAAGAAGAAAACTAAAATAAAAAGGCTACCAATCCATCAGAATCATTCATTGTACCACCTAAAATGGCAGCAAAAGGTAATGAATTTGCTGAAAAACCCTCAGGATATGCTTTACACAGAAAAGTCTTCTGAATGGGCTTCTCTTCATGTTGGACCTGTATTTTGTTCTCTTTCTATTGAGAAATCTTCCTTTGGCAAAGATGGTTGGACAGTCTCCATGTCTGTCTTTAACTTCATTCATCTTTCATTCTTCACTGGAACTCCAAAAGTTTACTTTTTATGAAAGAATAAATTGGCCCTTTTCTCCTTTCTGACAGCTGCAGATCCTGTAATGCACATCCAACTGCCCCTCTCTAATCTGGGTCAGCTGCTGGGAGACCTCTGGAACTCAGAGATCCTCCCTCATACTTTTCCTGTTGTTCTATCAGATGAAAAAGAATTGAATTGGGCACTGAAGTTCAGGTTCTGTAGGTCAGGTTTGAATTAATTGCCTCAAGGGTCATATTTTACAAATGGAACAAGAATACATACCTTAAGTGATGAGTCATATGCATTGTGCAATGGATTATTATTCCCTTTGGGGTATAGCATTTACTTATGCTTGTGAAATGCTCCATAATTTTTATATTTTTTCTTCCTCTTTGTCTTCAGATGTAGATTATTGTCACAAGAAAAATGTAGGCTTAGCTTTTAAAGTGAATCTACTTTAAAGTTTAATTAAATAAAAGTTAAAGGTGCTGGGTGATAGGCAGTATCTTAATTGAGAAGGCAATAGATTGAATTAAGGGGGTTTTCTTGGAGATCCTCAATCCAATATTTCTTGAAAACTAAACCGTCATATTCTTCAATTGCTAAAACCAATTTCAAGGTAAAAATGTCATGTCAAATCATGTACCAATAAGGGCATTGCAAATAAGATTTTTCTTGACCTTACCAATCAGTCACATTGCATCCCCTCCAAAGAGTATTATTAGATTTTTATCATTTTCTGAAAGCTTCTGCTTCAGAGACCAGCCTGATAAAGTAAAGTATCTGATTCTAATAGATAGCCACAAACAAAGTTATGAATACCACTGCTATTCATTTAATGGACATCACTACTATACAGTAGATAAAGAGTCTAATGAATTTACATTAATCAAATAAATATGATTACTTGGGTTTACAATTATATATATTTTAGTAATTCTTTTTAAGAATCGACACAATATGATAGATAACAAATATTCATACATCATGGAAAAGTATGGCTTGATCATCCATTATACTGATGATGCATCTTATTATTTCCATACTAATTGAAATTAATTTCTAGATCTATATCACAGAATAAAGCCTGAGATATGGTCAGTGGTGTATAACAAGGTATTCAAAAGAACAATCTGATACTGTAAGCAAATGGAGCAAAAATCTGCCTTGTTTTGTGTCCCACAGTTTACCTTGTTGACATGGGGGTTACAAAAATATTTCTGAGTTTCTGCTAGGAATATAAATGGGCTGTTAGATACACCCGTGCAAGTCCCATTAGCATCACAGAGAGCTCCACCAAGTTATTTAACTGAGTGCCGAATTCACAGCTCACAGACATGTAGGAGCTCTAAAACTAATGCTCAGAATGTTGAAAATGTTTCCCTTGGCAGATTCAAGATTTCACAATATTATTCACAGAAACATGAATTGCTGTGGTGATAACAAAAACCCCTGATTTGCAGATGGTTAATTTAATCCCACTTTTCCAGCTAATATGGGTATATAGCTGATACAGCCTGAGTGTTATGTCACTGATTTGAATCAGCAAAATTACGTTGCATTAATTTAAACTAATTTCAAAGCTCCTTCAGGCAGCATTTGATAATGAGAACAAATTTATTTTGAAAAACAAAACAGAAAAATATGTATTTTGGCCTCCTCTGGATGCACAAAGGTATTTAAGAGCATTGTTGATCTTCCAAGGAAATCTCTTGCAGAACAAATTTAAGATTTATGATGACAAGGAGCTTAGCCTCATTCTTTCTGGGACACACATCAGATACGCTCTTTTATATTTTGTAAAAAAAGAAAAAGTTTGATCTTCTCTCCGGGCACTGTGCAAAAGGGACTACTTACAAAAGGTTTGTAGAGTTGGAAGAGAAATACTTCTGTGGAGCTGAAGCAACTCTGTTTGTGCCAGAAGTCCTTGAGCCGTATCGCTGGTGGGCACATGAAAGGCAGGCACGGGGAAGGGAGTACACAATAACAAACAAGCACCCTGCAGTTTGTGTGCTGCAGTCCAGCACGCACCGTGCTGCCACCGGGGTTTGTACATGTGCTGCTGACATTATAAACAAAGTACTCCTGTAGAAACCTTCACAGTCCAGACAAAGCTGACTCTTCTAGAGCACCATTAATCTAATTAAAGATTAGATTGTTGTCTGAGGTGGATCAGATTAAACCCACCCTAGATGAGCTGTTGTCCCTCTGTCAACTGCAAAGGCAGTTCAGACGAGTCCTGCATTTTGTACTTCATCACATCCCCACAGCACAGAGCATCCTCTGGAAGGTCTTCTCATCCTGGGGTGCACCAGCAGCTTTCCCCCACTGCAGGCTGTCACGAGGAGTGGTGGCAGAGCGAGGGGCAGGTGTGACTTCGTGCCTGTTTTCAGGCTGCTCCTGCCCTGCAGTGAGGGAAACATCCCTGCTGGTCCGAGGTACAGTGCACAGCATGTCCCACAGGCAGCACTCTCAGCAGGAGCTTGCATGAACCTCAGCACCAAGTGCCACACATCTGGGGCCTTAAGTATATCTTTTTAGAAAGAAGATACACTTTGCTGAGCTTTTGTGGCCCAGAATCCACAGTGGCTTTGGCTCTAAAGCCCTTTCTCACAGAGTCCACAGTGCCTTTCTAGAAATATAGTATGCTATCTGCACTGTGGGTAAACTGTGCTTTACTTCTGTTTTCCACTGTTCCAGTTAGTATTGTTGGCTTTTACCTTATCCTCTGGTCCCTTACTATTGCTTTGGTAGTGAAAAAGAAAGAGAAATCCATGTTGCAGTCACCGTGGCAGGCTGGGTAACCTGAACTATGGCTGCTCAGTACACCAGGCTAGCCTCCTGATGGTCCTTGGCTTTGGAAATCATTTTCCATTAATTATCTGCAAAATATTTACTTTAAAAGTGCTGTGAACAATCAGGCCAGGAAGCTTGTTTACTTGAACATTTCCTCAACAAGAGTGCAAACAGCACTGACGTGAAGTTTTTATACTTTTCTCCTGACTCTACATAAACGCTGTGTAGCACTGACCAGGATTTTGCTTTGGTTATAGAAGAACAAGACCCTTGGTGTTTATTTTTTCAATATATGTGTATTGTTAAAGAAAGTTGCATTAATCAGTGATTTCCTCTGCATGTAGATACTGCAACTGCCTCTTTTTTTTTCTTGTAGGCGTGTAGCCACCGCTCTAGCTCAGAGATAATCTGCTGTACAACACCTTCACTGAAAGATTTCAACCTCCAACCACCCTTTGTGACCAAAGTGTTCTTTATTTTTGATGGTGTCAGCTCCCTGTACTTTGATTTTGATTACGTAAATAATCCTGTATTTAAGCATTTTGAAAAGACAGTGTTCATCTCAAGAGGCAACCAAAATGTTCTGGAAATTAAGGTAAGAAATGCTGAAATAAGTTTTTTGATTATTCTCAAGTGCACATCAGCAGCACAGCGTGGAACAGACATTTTGGTGCAATAAAGGAAGCCCCGAGGAAGCGAGGGCACAGAGAGCACTGTGTTCAGCCCTGCATTCACCCGAGCCTGGTTGTCACCATTTAAAAGAGGCAGAGCTGAAAACAGAGATATGTGTACCAGGACGGCTGTTGTCATCAGGTGAAGTGGGAGAGGGGCATTCCTTGTCCTCATGGGAGGACGACGCTGCATCAGCTTCTGAGTGCAATGGGCTGCACCACCAGTTCAGGATTAAACATGGCCAGCAGCCCAGAACCTGAAATATGTGGTCTGTGTGTAAGCCCTGGCTCTTACTGTCACATGGTTATGTGTCCTTCCTCACAAAATATGTGGCCTGTCTTCTTCAGTTCTCTGGAGCTGAGGGAAACTCTGGCTTGTGCACAAAGTCACTCATGAGGATCAGTCACTGCTGTAGCCTAAATATTTATGGATCCATGAAAAATGCAAAGTTGATGCTGAATGCCTATTCAATGTGCCCTGAGAATAGCCTACATAGCACTGAGAAGCATCTCTTAAGAATCTGGGATCCTCAGTAGCACAGGTCGCTCTCTACTACCATGCCATGGAGAAAGTTAAATCCATTTTGCAAGAGTCCAATTTCTTGAAGTCTCGGGTTTTTTTGAGTATTAAATAGAAAAGGTGTAAATATGGGTATTTCTAGTTTACAGTGAATGCTTATGAAATTTTTTGTATTTATATGTTATTTACATAGATATCTATAATTTATGTAAAATATAATTGATAAAAATGTTTTATGGAAGATAATCAGTCTTAATGCTTAGGCCATTTCTTTGTGTCACTCCTGCATAGCTCTGTAAGCCAAAACTTTTCCCCCATCACAATGGATAAATCTTGAAGCCCTAAAGTCTTTGAATCCAACACAGTCCAGTGGGCCAGCTTCTGGGCTGCAAGACATCAGAAGGATTACTTCAGAGTTCCCGTCAGCCATGCTGAGTTCCAGTCAAACTCTGCATATTAATCCATCTCTGCAAAGTGTTTTAGGCAAATACCAAAGAATAATCGGTCTGATTTTTACTTTTTACATTGTCTTTTCTACTTGGAGCTCTTAGCCATACCATCACTTCTTCCTCAATGCAGAGCAAATCTCTGTTTCAGTTATGGAGAAATGCTAAAAAGAGTTCTGGTGTGCAGGTCAACAGATCTGGGAATATATAGCTGCTGCATGGCTCAGTGCCTCTGTGCAATGACAGCAGTGTTTTCCAGTATTTTCCAAGTCATGCATATCAACCAGTTGGAAAGAGGACTAATTTGGGAAAAATTTCAGAATAATGTAGATTGGGAGGAACCTCTGGAGGTCTTCATAGTCTAACCCCATTGCTCAAAACAGGGCTAAAATAAAAATTAGGTCAGGCTGCCTACGGCTTTGTGTAAATGAGTTTTGAAAATCTCCAAGAATGGAGATGCTACAGCTTTAAAACACTCAGCTCCACTAGCTGAGTGATGTATCTTATGCTTGAGCTCCCCTCCTAGCTCAGTGACCCTCTTCTGCACTTTGTCTAGTTTGTCAGTACCTCTCTTTTTCTGTGGGGTTCAAAATTTGACACAATTCTCACAGTTCAGCTCCACAAGTGCTGACCAGAGCAGAACAATCACCTTCAATCTACTGGCTTTGCTGCTGCTAAAATGTGTGCTGAGCCTTCGTCACTAAAGTGGCATACTGCTGCCTAATTTCACATTATGGTCCAGCACATCACTCATTTTATTAAGTCTGATATCATCTGAAAGTTCAAAGACAGTGCATCCTATCCCTTTGTCCAAGCTGTCAAAAGATCTTAAGCAGTATATGTTCCACTATCAGCCACTGACAAATAAAGTTTTGATCTCTGTCCAATCTGTTTTTCACTCATTTTATATACCATCCATCGAGTCCATACCATGCTAAGTTTTTTTCATTGCTAGGAGAGATTGTGTTGCAAAACTTGCTAAAACCAAGGTCTGCTTGTCCAATGCTCTCCTTTCATCTAGAGAGCCAGTCCTGTCCACCTAGAAGGTTGGGCAGGCAAAATACACTCTTGGGAAACTTGTGCTGGCTGCTCCCAGTCATGTTCTTGTCCTTCCTCTGCCTGGAAGTGCATCCATGAGGACTTGCTCTATAATCTTCAGAGACGCTGAGGGTCAAAAATTAGTTGTTTTTTTAACTCTCTACTTTGCTCACTCTTTTATTCTCCCTGAAGAAGTCTCTGGTGCTGTGTATTGCTGGGAGAAAACCATTTAGATAAGAAAGGCTGACTGAGGATTGTCATAGTGACAACTGACCAAAGTCACAATTTTGTAGTATTGACCTGTAGTGCTGGCACCCAAAGCAGATGTCTCCCTAAGCCTGATGTCCTGCTTATTTCCTGGCAATCAGCTGGAGAACAGTATTAGTGAAAGGTGGTCTGCTAGAATGAAGCATGAACAGGCACCAATTTAACATCTTCCTCTAAACAGAATTAGTTATAGTGGGGTGCTTCTATCAAAACTGTGGGACAACTTTCATAAATTATAGTCAGGAGCCAAAAGGGCATTACAAGCCATACTGGCAAGACTTTCCCCTTGCCCCGTACCCACATTCAAAAATACACACACACAAGTTTACATGCCTCATGATCATATTTTGTGGAGTAATTAAGCAAGCTCAGCATGAAATTAAATGGCAGCTTGCTTCAGTGAACAGTCTGTTCTACCAAACCAAAGTTCTTTTATCTCTTCCTTAATTAGTTTCAGAGGGGCGGAGGGTGCTTTTATCACAAGTTTTTCAATCTAACTAATCTAGTGTGACATATTTGGCTTTCATCAAATGACAGTGGGTACCAATTGAAATGTTCTGTTTGGTTTCCCCCGATGACCACAAGATGTTTTTGTAAGAAAATGTTATACACAAGAAAACATTAGGTTTTCTATTTAAAACACAGTCAGGGCACTGTGTGCCACAAATGCCAGTCCTCCTTGTCTTTAGTGCCAGCCTCTCAATGTCCCACATCATCACTGTCTTGCTCTGCCAGCTGTGTGGCTCTTTCAAGTCTCCTGGTGCCCACCATGCCCCAGTCAGAGGGGTCATGACAGAGTGGTACCAGACAACTCTCTGCTTCAACACCATGAAGACACCACTTCAGAAGGGCTCCCATCTCCTTTCCCAACATGGAAAGCTGTCAGGGCAGGAGAAATTCTGGTGTTTCACTGCTGAGTCTGCTGAAAATTACAGAGTCCACTTGCTGCCTCCCCCAGAAGCCACTGATCCAGACTTGCAAGCTGGGCTGCTGACAGACAAGAGCATCCTAAAAAACAAAAAACAAACCCAACCCCCCCAAAAAAGCCACCAAAAACAAAAGCCAACACAAAACAAACAAACAAATGAACAAACAAACAAAGAAAAACCACCCACCCCTAAGCAACAAATGAATAAGGAAAGCATCTTTCTTCAGTTAGCCCAGTGGCCTGCTCTGTTCTGGGGTTGTGATTGTGCACTAAGATGGGGCACGGACTTTGTGCATTGTTCCATGGGAGGCCTAGGCATGGACCACCAGAAACTAAAGTATATTTACAAGTATAAATCTTCCACTAAGGAAATACGTAGCCTAGTTGTAATTCAATGTGTAACAACTGGCATGCTGTACAGCACATCTTGGCTGTGCTCTGGCACTTCTGTCTTAAAACTCAGAGTAGGACAAGACTTACTAAATTGCCTACTCTATTCTTAAGCCAGTGCAACACTTTCTTTATGAGACAATCCTAAGGAAATCTTCTTGCCTCTTTACAGGTCACTCTATTGTCACTCTTCTTTCACATTGCATAGGAAATTGTTACTCTCAAAACCTGGTCCAAAAGAGAGCAATATGGAAACTGTGGTATTTTTGAGCAAGCTGAAGAGGAACCTCTGCAGCTGCAGTAATTCCTCATTTTCCCAATTCAACCTGCTCACTCTGCTTAGGAGCCTCAAAAATGCTTCTGACACCAGTCTCAGAATTTCCACACCATAGTTAGTTTACTGTTCTTCTGCTGCTTTTAGACTTTTACTAAAACCAAGTTTTTCCCATCTCTTTAAAAGTTGTGAGATGTCTGTGCTATCAGATTGGATTGCAACAGCTACCCAGTACAGCTTGAAGATTAACTTCTACAGCTTGCATTCAAGGGCATTGCTCACCAAGAAGGGGGTAATACACATTTGGAAAGAGGAAATATTTTTTCTCAGTTCTCACAGGAGCCAATTTCCTCCTTTTCCTAAAATTGTAGGCAAATTCTGTTGTCCCAAGAAAAGCAAAACCACTGCTGAAAGCGTTTTGAAACTCTTAATATATTTAGATATAATGAATATGTTTGAAACTATAATATATTATAAGGTTGTCATCTTTATAACTGGCTCAAGACCACCTTAGGAAATATCAGTATGATTTTTTTTTTCCCATTTTTGCATCTCTGGCTCAAGACCACCTTACTGAAATATCAGTATGATTTTTTTTTTTCCCATTTTTGCATCGGCTTTGGTGGAGAAAAAATTCTAGGCTTTGGTGAAGAAGAGACCAATCAACCACACTGTCCAGGATAATATATTTATGCTGAAGATGGAGGAATTAAAGTCAAATCTTTTGAGGTACATCATTCAGAGGAAAGAGATGGCTCACAATCTGCCACAAGTCTCCAAATGAATAAGCAATAAGCATTCATATGCTCCCCAGCCCAGGAATATTTTATTACTTAACACCAAACAGAATGGCTTCGACTAGACAGAAGATAGAATGCAAAATGGACTTTTATGGCCAGCAATTAAAAAGCATTTACCTGGGGTGTGGCTTTTCCATCAAAATAGGACATTAAGCTGACTCTCCTATACATTTATTACGGTTTTCCCAGGGTTCAATCTCATTGTGAAGCAGATCTAAAACATATGCCAAAGTTTATTTTTTGCCCTTCAGAATGGGATTCTTGTTTTCTTTCCAATATACAAGGCTTCACAGTGGTGTCAGCTGTGATGCCTTCCTCCCTTCTCGTGGAATACTCCCAGATCCAGCCCATATAAATAGACTGTATTGGTCCCATACTTCCTTCTCCCCTTCAATACTACTTAATATACCTCTTCTTTCATCTTGAACTGGGCTGTACATGGGCTAGGGCAGCTCTTACATAGAGATTCACTCCTGAGCACAAAAGATCCTAAACTTGGCCTTTGGATTCTTCTGTCACAATATCAGAAGCAATAATTTCTCATCCAAGTCTGGGATGTGAGAGCAGGTTTTCTGGGTAAGAAGTGTACTTTTCATGCCTCATCTTTACCAAGATTTTTTCCTTTTTGGTCTGTGGAACATGATTTTAACAGACTTGTGTATTATTTAAATTAATTACTTCTTTTTGAAAGCTTCATTTCTGCTACCATAACCACTTGCAAAACAAAATGTTTGAGATGCCTTTAGCTTGTGGATAATATAATGCCAGTTTTGTGTAAACAACAGTGTTACATAATGTGTCCTTTCTTGAACAATTATGCAAAAATCTAAACAGGACCAACAGGATTAATCCCTCAGACATTTAAAATTTCAGAAGTCTGTATGAGCTGTATAAGTGACAGCAGATTTTATCTGTAAAGTTTATAAAGTTTACCATCCTACACTGGCCCCTCTGTCAAAGTTGCATTTACATGAAATAAGCCTATACATGCATATTGACAGGACAGTGTAAATTCTCATTAGCCTTTTATTTCACAATTTATTTTTCATTAAAAATATTTTCCAGGCTTGTAAGTGCTTAAGTTTTATGAGACGGCTGTGTAATATGAAATTGATTTTTTTTTCCAAGGGAAATTATATTGATTCAGAAGCTGTTAAAGGTGAGGTGCTAAAAGTTGGAAACAAAAGCTGTGAACACCTTCTCCTGCAGTCAGAATCAATTCTGTGCACGGTTCCCAGTGATCTCCTGAAATCCAACAGTGAGCTAAATATAGAGGTGAGGCAACTACACCACACACGAGATATTAATGCCATTTTTATTATTATTCACAGTGTCGCTATTGAACCAATAAACTTTAAGCCTAAATAAAATTTCAGCCTAAGCCTGTGCTTACAGAGATATCTCTATCCCTGTTTGTTTGGGACAGAAATTCAAATAATATCAGCTATTTTAAAATAAACGTGATCGTCATTGTTGTTATTACCTGTTTTTACAGAGACTTTCTCAAGCCTTAGGCACAAAGTAGGACCTGAACTAAGCACAGAAATAAAATTATAGTTATTAATCCAAACACAAGAGGAAACATGTGGGGAAGAATGAGAAGCTATAATGGAGTAGTTTTAGTTTGGAACTCACGGGCCCTTTGTTCAACAAAACATTCTGCTGCAGTCAAGAGGACCAAATCTTTCCTGAAGGATTTTTCTTTGGTCTGCATTTTATAATTTCATTTCAAGTCTTTTTGTAAGAAGAAGACACTTAGGACAAATGATTGACTCATTGCTTTAAAGGTGGTCTCAATTGAGTCATTCAGTGTGCTCCTGCAAATTTAAATTGTAGACATACTGATTTATAGAATAAGACATAGATCTTTCAATATATTTTTATTTTTTAAAGATATAAAGAAATTAAATTGGAATGGGATTACCTTTAGACTATGAAAGGAGAATTTGCTGGTCATGTAAGTGTGGTTAGGATCAAAGTCTAGGTAAGCTCTTTGAAGCAGGGACATCTATTTTTTCAATGTCTTTGTGACATTCATCTCACAGGATCCTGGGCTGTGAATGATATTCCTATGTGCTACTGCAATCTAAGTAAATAGTAACAACTAATTTGTCTTATTAATATGGTAACTAGTAATTTATTTTAATATCAATTTCTTTTTTTAAGTAAGTATTCATTTTCTTGGATATATCAGGCAGACTATAAAATTAGATGCAGCTCTCCTTTTGGTGTAGGTCCCCAGATTTCTAAGTGCCTAGTTTCATATAATAATACTTGTGCACAGGTTGCATTCAGTTAATATGTTGTATTTTTACATATCTGACCAGGACTAACATTGCATTCAATTAGTTCTACTCTGTGATATTTTCTTAACTTCTAAGAAACAGACATGTGTGACATGTTTCATGCACAGAAAAGAACAAAACATAAAGGGGTTAAACAAGGTTTCTACTTGTTTACTGGCAAGGAGACTCAGAAATTGTAGTCTGCCCAGCGAAGAAGAAAATTTGCTCTTTTGACGGGCAAATCCATCATTACAGTACCCAGAGGGATGAATTCCACAGGAGGAAGAGAAAAGATGGCCAAATGCATTCCAACTGACTGAGCTAGTGCTGTGTGACCTAAAACAGTTTTTCCCTGTTAGCTGCTTGGTGCTTGTTTGGTTGTTGGTTTTCGGGGTAGGTTTTTTTGTTTAGTTTTGTTTCTTTAAATTGTCAGCAAGCTAGAAGCTGGCAAGGGACAGGCTCACGTGACCTTGGGAACTAAAATGCAAGCATGCTGTCAACAAGAGAGTGAGTTTGATGTTACAGCATATTTGTGCCAAAAGGACACACATTAAAGACAGCTGGGCTATTTTTTTTTAACGCAGCCCATATAGCCATAGGCCCATTCCGTGCACCATATGAGCAAAAGCATGAATTTAACATTTTCAATTAGCATCTGGTAACAGTGGAACCCTGTTATCCAGAGAGCATGTGAGTGCATGCTCTGTGTGTGGTGTATCAAATACAGAGCTGTGTCACAATCAGAGCTCTTGAACGTGAGAAATGAATCATAAACATGTAGCTCTGTTTTCATGTACACCAATATAACAATTTCTCCACTCACAGTGTCTTATCACAGAACAACATCACAAAATCAAGACTTAATACATATGAGACATATCACCTCAGACTTTAGTACTAATAATCTAGTTCTTACTTGTCTTTGGAAATCATTACACTATTTTTTTCTTTGTTATTTCAGTGGAAGCAAGAAGTTTTGTCAACAGTTATTGGAAAAGTGCTGATCCGGCAAGATCAGAATTTCACGGGACTAATTGCTGGAATTCTTTCAACATCAATCTTAATTTTTATCTTTTTGATGGTTTTCTTCTGGAGAAGGAAGAAGAAACAAATTAAAGGTCCATCATAGTCAATCCTATCAAATAATTCCATTATTATCTCGGATTTTAAAAACTTACATAATTTTATGCTTTGCTTAACTGACATGTATTGCCCTGTTGTAACCTGTCAGCAGAGGTTTCACAATCAACTCCCGATGTTTAGTTGCATTTCAGTGCTTGGCAAGAGCCTGAGCTGGGTGAAGGGCCACATTATGCCTTAAGCAGAAGGATCTCTGAGGAACTCTGAGCTATTAGGAAAATGTAGTAACTTCTTTTCCCTAATCAGCTTTGGAAGAGGGGATGAGTACATTACATGCGTGGAATCACAAGTACTTCAGCTTCATCCAGGCTGTGCATGAGTTGTGCAAGACACAGAGTGCTGCAGTCTCCTGGTCTTTTTTTTTTTCCCAAATCAGGAACTTGGTCAGACTCCCATTCTTCTTTGGCCCCCGTGTCTGGGTTTCCTTCCATTGAGAGCTGCCACGCTATGTAAGGTGGGAGGAGGAGGGGAGCTAGTGTATAACCAAGTCTTGTCCTGATGCACTGTCACAGTCAGACCATGAAGCTGGCCCTAGAGTCTTCAAAGCAGTCTTTGATCTTCCAGTATGGGTAAGAGTGGGTCTTCAACACAAGATTTTTTTTTCAGAAAATCTTGGACTGTAAAAACAGCTCAAGTTCAAGTCCTACACATCTGCCAGAGCAAGAACCTAACCCTCTTCCCAGCAGAGCAGAAAATCTAAATTTAAATAAATAGATAAATCAATATTGGCATAGTGAAAACACGAGGGTTTTTTAATATTGCTTTCTCCTCCCCCTTCAGATCTGGGAAGTGACCTGGTTCGTTATGATGGCAGAGTGCACACCCCTCACCTGGACAGGCTGGTGAGCGCGAGGAGTGTAAGTCCAACAACGGAAATGGTTTCAAGCGAATCTGTAGACTACAGATCAACTTTTCTAGAAGGTATGACTCTAATTAGGAATCAGAATGGAGGATATTTTACACATATTGATTTTCATATGTCTTCACATGATACCTATTTTGATCAGTATCCTAATTTCAGTTTCTCATCTGATTTGTCTGTGTCTGCATTTTTGGAACTTTCATGTATGCACAGGCTTGCTATTTTAACTGAGCTTTTCAGGTGCTTCCCAAGATCAAGGTGCATAGGATTTTTACTTTTACTCAGGTTGAAGGAATAAATAAAATACAATTAGTAAAAACTCTCTAAAAGTATGCTCCACAAGTTATTAGGAGCTAGTATATATAGTGATTCTGTGTTGTCATAAGATCCATCACACCATGCACAAATCCCCTCAGAAAATTCTGATTTTAATGACAACATCAAGTGGTTGCAGGTTTAGTGTGTCCCAGTGACTTCCTACAGTTATAAAAAAGCAGTTCTGTTGGTCCGACATGGGACATGGAGTTTGTAAACTGATATTCTTCTGTCTGTTGATACCCCTCCTGTAAAATGGGACATTGTATAATGCAGAAATGTTAGTTTTAAAAATTAAGCTAAAAGGATATGAAGACTGTGACAAATTGAATGGAGGTCCATATGCCATGTGCCATTATGCCAGTCTCAGGGAAGAATAATCCTACACCAAATATATTTTTGTGCTGTATAATATGACTTTAAAGTGGGTATTCTTCAGAAGAGCAGTCTGCTACACTTATCACACAATGCTAAGCTCCTTTAACACATGTGGAGACCATGTTCTGTGATTATCATTAAAGAGCCTTTATCTATTATGGTGTGTGAGATATCGCAGATAATTGTGAGTCTTGGTATCCACATAGTCTTGTACTATTTCAGGTGCTGCTGTAAACAACTCAATGGAAATAACTCCAAATCTTTGTTCCACCTTTGCAAGCCCCAGTCACAGAGCTATCTGAGACACAGCCTGCTCCTGGCTTCCCATATTATCCTTTAATTGCTGCCAGCAGCTTGTACAGGAAGTTTCTTGATTGAAAAATTTCCAAAGGGAAAGAAAAGCCCATGCTACTGGTTAGAAGGGAAAGTGGCCCATGAGACAAAACTATGCAAAGATCCTTGGTGGAAGGTAAATCCACAGTGGTCCTGCAGCCACAGTGTGCTGGCAAAGCACAATGGAGAGTGCATCCAAGAAGGGTGTGTGTTCATCTCATGTTCCTGTATGTCAATATTATCAAAGAATGAAATAAAAGAAACATTAGAAAACATGCAGGTTTACATTTTGCAGCTGTAAATATTATTTGTGGCCATGGCTAGATTATTTTACTGTGTTTATTAAATAGATATTTGCCTTTAGTTACAAATAAATTAATTTGTAAGTTGTAAGAGCTGATATTTTTGCTCCTAGGTAAAATAACAGAGTGTTTCTCAGCTCCCAGAGTGATAAAAGCACTTTATAAAAATTTCACAAGTTTTATGCAGAAATAAATGAAGTATGTATATTTTTTACTTTTTGTAACAAGATACCTGATAGTTTCTGTTGGTAAATTTACTCTCCTTTTTTTTTTTTTTGTTTTTCACCCTGAAAAACAAATTCAGCTAAATTCAGCTTATCAACTCCACGGAAATCATTCCAGACTGAAACTGGTATAAACTAAACATAGCTATTTCATTCAGCCACACAAAATCCTAGGAAAAAGGTTTTAAACAAAACCAATTTGAAATTGAGCAACATGCTGTTGATTAAAAAAAGAAAATCTCAAATAGATACTCCTGGATTTGCTGAAATATTTTAGTTTCTGCTATATCAGATGGCTCATGTTATTTTCATGAGTAGCACCCACTGTAATATCTTCAGCAGTTACAGGAAATGAATCACCTCTAGGCATTTCCCTGGTTGAATATTTACCATTGGATAAATACAGCTAGTCACCAGCACTTTGGAAACCTTTGTGAAGTGTAAAGTTCCCTACCAAATTAAAACATGACAATAATAAAAAGCTTCATGTTTTCAATTGTTCACTACCTCCTCCTTCCATATTGCTGTCATTTTTCTGTTTTAATCATGTTACTCCCAATTGCTAGAAATACTATAACCTCTGTTTGGCAAGAACTGACAAGGCTTCATTCCATCCCCTCAGAAAAGTGGAAGTTTTGCCATTTACTTTTGTAAAAGTAGAGCTGAGACAAGCACAAGTTTCTAGTGACATGGGTTTCCTGGAGGTTGGCAGATTATCAATGCATATTTTAATTTTCCCTTCATGACCAAAACTTCCGTAAAGCCAAGCCACTTCCAAACTGATAAAATCAAACCTTTCTTACCAATGCAATAAAACTCTTCATTTTTCAAGGAGAAGTTTGAAAGGACTATAACAGTTTCTGTTCATTTTTCAGACCAGTTTCCAAGCATGTCTCAGAATGGATCGTGCAGACCTGCCCAGTATCCTCACTCTGACCTCTCCCCGATTCTGTCTAGCGGAGACTCCGATTTAGCCAGTCCACTTCTCCAAAGTAACGTCCACATAGACATCAGTGCCTTAAATCCCGACCTGGTCAAAGAAGTGCAGCATGTGGTTATTGGTGCCGACAGTCTGATTGTACACTTCAGTGAAGTAATAGGAAGAGGTGGGTACTGCAACTCTTACATTGCAAACTGCTCCTCTTTTTGCACACCCATTCGTTATAAACCATTCTGAATGAGGTGTCTATACAGAGATTTTTTTCAAGCTTTTTAGCTCTTATAGCATTGCATGCTGTGTACTGAATCAAGGAGGGAATGAAGGGGCTCTCCTTTGAAGTCAGTGCATCTGATCAGTTGGAGAAGACACCATCAGGAGGAAGGAGTCTGCCAAATAATGAGGCTCTTTTGAACTCTTGGACTTGCTGGTCCCCCTCCAACTGCCTCACTCTCACCCTTTTCTAGGCTACAGAAAGCTCAGCCAGGGCTTCTGATCCATGAGGCTGTGGTATGGGACTGAATCTGCCACAGGATATATATATATATATATATATGAAACCTAAGGCACACACCTAAATGGCAGGGGATGCCAAGGCAGGAACACAAGTGACCTCAAACTTGGAGCCAATGACCTGTCAGGATTGCTACATGACACGGGAGACTCCTGCAGTCATTAGTGCATACAGTAAAAGTCCCCATGACCCAGGTGAAATGCCCACACCCCTTTACCCTCCTCAAGTTTCCACCAGCTCTGAGGAATTTGATGCTTGTTTCCTCCCAGCAAATGCTCTTCATATCACCTCATTCCTCTCATGCCAGCTGCAGAAATATGTAGCCCCTGATTCACTTCCCCTTGGTTTTGTCCCTGATTTGGCAAGTCTCCTATTTTTTCTAAATTTCTTTCATCACTCCTATTCCCTCTACATCTTCATAAGCAAGTTCCCTTTACCTTTCATAGCCCAAGCCAGTATTTCTGTTAGGGACATTTTTAAACTCTGTGTGACTGAGTACCTGTTAGCAACCAAAGTACAAACTGTGTTTCAGTATTTCTACAGATCATGCATGAGAGGTCTCTTGTTGAGTACTGATAAAAAATTTGCTATAAATTATATTCTTAATGCCTCTTCTGCAGGGCAAGAGCCACAAATCAAACAAACAGTCAGTGTGTTTCATTTCTATGTATTACACTTCATCATCCCCAAAGCAAGGGTGGGCCTTTTTCTTTTCTCTTTTGTTTTGGAAAACTCCAAGTAATTTCCCATTTTTTAAATGTTGAAAAATATCTGGAATGACACCAAGATAATTAACCGTTTTAAATTTTCTCCCTTCTAACCAGAAATGGGCCAAACCCCAAAATATTTTAGACACACCCAATCCAAGCTTTAGGATTTTTGCCCAGGCTCCAAGCAATCTGTGGTCTGATGGGATTTTAGTTGCTTTTATAAAACAAACTTTGGATTAATTTTACTTTAAGCCAAAAGCAAAGCAAAGTGATCTCTGACCAGAGCTTATGACTGGAACGTAGTAAAATTGATCAGATAGTCTTGTTCTCTGTAGAGCTCACACTAAAGGAAAAAAAAAATATGCTTTCTAACTGCAAATATTAGTATTGTAAAAGTTTCCAGTAAATAGTTCATCTGTGAAGGAAGCCACAACTGCACGTACATAATTTGATTTAGAGAAATTAATGTCTGAACCTGGAGCTCAAACTTCACTGTTTCCCAGACTGGTAAACCTGACTTCTCATAGTAAGTTTTGTTAGACAACATCATTTGCTTGGCAGGAAAGCACAGGATTTCTGTGTCCCTGGCAGTTCATTTCACTGCTTAGACCATGAGAAAGAAGGCAAATGTTTTTCATCATTTTAGTGATATTTTATACTTGGAACTAGGCCATAGGAAAAAACTGCCAAGTGGTGTCATCAGTCTGTGATCAGTAGAGCAACTCCCAAACTGTCCACAGCCAACACATCACTTTTAACATTCAACGTTTTCCCTGGAATAGCAAGACCTGAGCAACTGTAATCCCAGAGTGGCTGTCCTTTCCATCAGATGCATCAAGTTTGTACAGTCCAGTGGACCACTTAGCGTGGGCTTGCAGATCACTGGGAACCACCAATCCAGGGGTCATGTCAGCTCCTAACTGCTCCCTGTGCCTTCCAGGTGTCCTCCTTTGACACCCATGTCACAGGAGAGCATGGGAATGGGCTGATGTGGGTGTCATGTGCTTAGTCATCACAAGAACACAAAATACTTGTGGCGCCAGCCTTGTCATTATTTATACTCTCCATTTAGGTCAAGAAATACCAATTATGCTGCAAGGAGAGTTTTCGTTTTATGTAATGGTGGTTTTATGTAGTGGTGGTTTTATGTAATGGTGATTTTATGAATGGTGGTTTTATGTAATGGTCTGATTCCATTTATTTTAATATGTTAGTTAGGAAGTGTATATTACAAGTGTTGGGAATTGGATAGAAATGGAGTGTGATCACTTTCTTACAGTATAATTGCTACCCAGTGGAAAATACCAGAAAGCTAATTTTACTTCTTAAAGCTAATATTGCTCATTTTTTTTATACAGGACATTTTGGCTGTGTGTATCATGGGACATTGCTGGATAATGATAGCAGGAAAATTCATTGTGCTGTGAAGTCACTGAATAGTGAGTTACATGTTTAATAGTGAGATGTTACTGTTCATTCCAAAGATAACTGGGGTGAACCAATAAGTTCCAGTGAAGTATACATTCACAAAGATTCTTAGTTGCAGCTGAATCAGCTTTATCTTTGGAGCAATTCCAATTACTCCAAATTACTGCAACACATTGGCATATATTTTTACATCAAATGAAATTTCCATATATTTCCTCTACAAAGAAAAAAACTCTGGAAAATAAGGGAAAGGTAGCATCTTTTTTTGTTCTACTGAGTGCTGAAGATTTGGGTTTGGAAGTTAAACTGCTGAAGAGTAGGAAAAGCTGCTGGAAAAACACGAAGAGAGTATAACAACATTTATTAAGGACTTTATTCAAGTTTATTCAAGTGTTTATTCAAGTGTTGTTATTCAATTTTAAATCATTCAAAATAAGAAATGGAGAAACAGAATTAAAATTACCAACAGCCTGTCTTTGGTCATTGTAGGAAAACCAATGCACATAACCTCATTGTAACGTGGGAGGTGGAGAGCGTGTTTGTAGTCTCTCATTATCACTTTGTTGTACAATGACATGCTGTAGAGAAATGAACCCTAGTTTGTTTCTCTTTCTTTTAATTAACTCATTTTATTACTGGATTTCTCAGGGATTACAGACCTGGAAGAAGTAGCTCAGTTTCTGAAAGAAGGAATAATCATGAAAGATTTCACTCATCCCAATGTTCTGTCGCTCCTGGGAATCTGTTTGCCCAATGAAGGATCCCCATTAGTTGTTCTTCCGTACATGAAACATGGAGATCTTCGAAACTTCATTAGGAATGAGACTCACGTAAGTACCTGGTGAGGTACAAATGGTAATGCAAGTCTGGCCACGCCCTGCTCCAACACTTACAAGCTCTCATAATTACATTACGTCTGCAACTTGCTGCTGTAACTACACCTTAACCTTTAGCACTTGCTTAGTCTGGCACCGAGCCCAGCCACAGCAGCGCCACTCCTTCCCCTCCCCCTCACATTCCTCTCTAGAATGTTTCCCAGAAATTATCAGCAATAAGTATTTCTCATTTCCCATCCATAAGCCTCTTTATAAACAAATGTGTTTATGAGATCTACGTCCAGAGGCCCAGTCATCTGCTGGTTAAACTGGCACATCTCTGTTGACTTTAGCACAGCTGTGCCAGTCATCAGCCTCTGCTCTTCCAACTCCTAGGTGAGGGAACTCCATGTCCAGCTAGTGTCACAGCACCTTTATTACCCATATTTTTTCTTCTTATCTTAAGAAAGAAAAACAGGAGCTGTTATAAAACTATGCATACACTCTTATCAGCAATCTTCCCCATTTCTATTGAAAAACTGTAGATTCCTCAAATGAGCCTCACTGCTTTCTCTCAAGTAGGAGATCACAGATCTTACCTCAGGCACTGTAAGCCCACTTTACACTGTATTTCACCTATTTCACAGTGTTAGAACAACATAAAGTGATTTCTGAGCCAACAGGATTTTGTCCTTGCTTTTACGGCAATCAGCAATAGCCAGTACAATTTAAAAAAATTTAATTTCAACAAATTTTTGGAGGAGTTAAGCTTTCTGAGGCTGGGACCTGCTCCCATTTGAGCTTTTCTCATTCTACAAGCACCAGGTCCCTTTTCTCTAAATAGTGCCATAGTCCTTCCTGAAATAAATAGAATAATGACCACAGTTGAATCAGATTGTTCCACAGAAGAAAATTATAAGAAGTAGTGTCAAAACCACAAAAATCTGTAGTATCCTTACTGTTACAAGTCATATTATTGCCATAAAAGATTTACAGGTTTATGTCTATATTTATTTTGATATTTAACATTTTGAGTATCATCTCACCATGTAGGCAAGAAGAAAGAGTTAACAATCATTTCCAAAAATCTTCCTCTGGTAACTGCTAAGGTCATATTTGCCTTTTTCATGACATTATACTGATGCACCTATTTTGTCCCAAATATGACTTTCTCTTCTCTTGGTCATCTCCAGCTGATGAGCTCCAAGTTCACAGTTAGTACCTTCTACTGAGTTACATGCTATCACCCTTAAGGCCACATATGTGAATTTTGTGTATCTTCTGTGAAGCTGAAGTTTCAGCATACTGTTCCATTTCTCAGGTCAGGTTATGCTGCTTATGCTGCAAACTCTACTCTTCTGGAGAGTGTCAGCTCTTTTGTTTTCCTATAGTGTGTTTTCTCACTGGGAGTAAGAAGCTGACCTAAACTTAAACCAGTTTCACTACAAGCACCAACCTTTCTTGATCATTCTGGTGGCAGGAGAGGTGTATAAAACCTAAAGAGTCACAGCATAAAGCAGTCCAATCCTTAAGCTTCTGCATTCATTTTATCATAAATGTTTGTATTTTACAGAATCCAACAGTAAAAGATTTAATTGGATTTGGCCTTCAGGTTGCAAAAGGAATGAAATACCTTGCAAGTAAAAAGTTTGTCCATAGAGATTTGGCAGCAAGAAACTGTATGTAAGTACAGACATCTACTTTAGCCACATTACCACACTCTTCTGTGTAAAACAGTGAAATGAGATGAGATAAACTGAAGTTTCCAGGATTCTGCTATTTTTTAGTAAAAAGATGGTGTTTTTCTCATTGCTCTGCAATTATACTGATGTTTGTCTTGCATACTGATGAGCTACTCATCTTGCTAAGGGCTCATTTCTGACACATAAGCTTTTTTGGAGTGTGAGAAATAAGAAAGCTGAGGTGAAAGTCTAGCCTCTCAAAATCATTGGTTAGAGTTTAAAAGGCATCTCCTAAGGGAAGTTAAACTGCTGTTGTCTCAACTTGCTGTGCTTCCACCCAGCCTCTTCAGAAGCAGCATGTCTCTGCTGCCACACCTAACCAGGAGGGAGAGGAACACAGGGGAACTTTGTGAGAAAAACAGGAACACAAAGAAACACCAGTGAGACCTCTTGACAATAGTCTTTCATTACATGAGTATGAGCTTACTTTGGCTCAACCAGGCACACAAATTAACATTCAAAGAATCTTACTAGTGTCTGGGAAGCCAGACAGCTCAGTTCCCACAAAGACAAACTGATACAGGATTTGCCAATATGATTATGCTGATTTATCACTGATGTTGTGAATTAATGAGGCACAGCCTTAAAGTTTATTTTTAGCACATCACAAACTGGAACTCTGGCTGCAAAAGGGTCATTAACCTGTGACATCAGATGTCTTACTCTTTTTTCAAGTGTGCACACCTGTGCAGTTGAACAGCCTCTGAAAAAGAACATTTTATTGCAGGTATTGGGTTTTTTAATGGATGAAAAAAGCAACAAGCACATTTTCATATTTCCTAAGAAGAAATGCATTGGGTTACTGAACAAAAGACCTAGTTCATCTAATCAAAGTCCAAATGGTGGCCAACAGGACATTCCCCTGGCCTACTGTCTCTTCCTTGGGTGAGGAAGGAACAGCTCTCAGGGTGTCTCACATGACCACTGAATGACTGCTTTTGCACTTCTGTAGGGATCAGCACTTCAGAGCCTGGAGAGCTGCTGCCACAAGACCCACTTTCCCCAGGGGCCATGTGCAATCCAACACTCAGTACAGGCCCTGCTGCACTGGTGATGTCTATCAGAAAGGAAGCCAGCATGCAAATATAGTCCTCAGGGACTCTTTACTCCATTCCACTGTCCTGGAAGAGGTGCAGGAACCTGCTATGGCATAAACTATTTCCTGTTGATGCATCAAAGTTCCTTCCTACTCCTTTCATCAGATTAAGTTACAACATCAGTAAATACAGCAGATGGTTCTGTCCCATCCACTGACTTCAACAGCCCAGAGTTGTCCAGACAGAAACCTCATAAATTCAAGACAGGGAAATGTCATGTGCAGACACTGAGAGAGACAGGATCATTTAGCCTAGAGAAGGTTCAAGGAGATGTTATCCATATATGTAACTGATATGGTGGATTAAAGAAGAGGAAGCCAGATTCTTCTAAGTGGTGCCCAAGGACAGGCCAAGAGGCAATGGGCACACACTGAAATAGAAAAAAAATGCATTTAAACACAGTAGTGCTTTTGTTGTACAGATGACTGAACACTGACCCAGGCTGCCAGAAAAGTAGTGGAGTCTTTATCCTTGCAAATATTCAAAACCCACCTGGTCGTAGTTCTGAGCAACCTGTAGCAGCAGACCCTGCTTTGAGCAGGGGAGACAGAGGTGACTAAATGATCTGCAGGGGCCCCTTCCAACCACACCCATTCTGTGACTGTGTGAGGCTGTAAAGAAGCCCAAAAGGAAGTGCTTGCTGTGACTAGGTCTGCTCATGTAAAGAAGGAAAGGCTTGAAAATGCCCACACCCACACTCTATTTGTAATAATGATACCACTTATCAGGACAAATACCAAGCTTAGGAGGTCTTCTGGTATGGCTAAGCTGTAACCCCAAGAGATCTTTTGTTATGCCATAATTTTCCCCCAGAACACACATCAAACTCATCCTTAGTTACAGGACTACATTATTACATAAAGGCAGTCACTGAGATAATGATGGATCCCTCCTTATCAAAACTGAGAGTAAGTAGGAAAGGTGATGCATTAACTTGGAAATAAAAATGAGCAGATTTTAAGGATACAGAAACAAAAAAAAAAAAACAGCTGTGGAAGAAATTATGTAGAACTCAATCAGTATGTATAGGCTATTAGCAAAAATCTTTTTATACATAGCAATTGTTTTAAAATAACTATAATTCAAATTGTATTATCAAAACAATATCAGTAATTTCCTGAGTTCATTAACTGTGTTAAATGGGTGTCAAATATACTTTGCTGCACTTTTGTTTCAGTGTTACATTAGTTCATAGATGCCAAATAAAGTACTGCCATCCAAAGTCACAGTCCCAAAAATGCAAGTCAGTGATTATAATCCACCAACACGGTAAATCTTGCCCACTCAGTTGAAAATAATACCTTTTGTCATTTCTCTAGGTTGGATGAAAAATTCACTGTCAAGGTTGCTGATTTTGGTCTTGCTAGAGATGTCTATGATAAAGAATACTACAGTGTGCACAATAAAACAGGAGCTAAACTGCCAGTGAAATGGATGGCTTTAGAAAGTTTACAAACTCAGAAGTTCACAACAAAGTCAGATGTGGTAATGTACAAATATATTTGTATCACGTATTTATTTCTTTTCTGTTGCCTGAGGCATCTTTCTAGTGTTTAATTAATGGAACAGCTCCATATGAAAACTGATATTTGAATCTAGCTTTTGTTCAGATAAGAATAAAAGAGTCTTTCTACCTCCAGAAAGTGTATTTGTCCCAATCACTAAGCAAGAAGTTGTTGACCTTATATATATATCTTACTGCTCAGGAAAGAATTAGGAGTTTAACCCTGTTCCAAGGGAAACTAAGGACATTCCAAGAAGCCAAGAACCCTGCTATAGGAGGGGCTTTGGAAAGCTTGACAGAACTGGTTAACTTGGAGATTCATAAAAGTTAATAGTTCTCCAAAATACTTTATTTGCTTTATAAATACTTACTGGCTGCCTACAGCAATCTCAAGTACTACCTGGCCATTTACGAAGAAAAAATTGTTACAATGAAGTCAGTTGCCTGGATTGCTTTGTATTTTAGCTTTCTGTTCAATCCAGATTCAGACTGACTTGTTATGCATAGAATTTTCACTGTGTATATTGTCTTCAGCATGTATTTACACAGAGTTAGCCAGATCATCAGTTCATGTAAACTGGCAGAGCTCCATTAACCTCAAAAGAAGTCTGCCAATTTACACCAGCAAAGTATCAGGCCTATAGGCTTTTATTTTCTTTCATTTACTTATTGAGATTCTCTGCCTCTTATTTAAGTGGCTCCTCAAGTCCCTACAGCATTTATTAGCCCACTTAAAAGAAAGCTGAATGCAGTAAAAGAACTTTTCAAAGAGAAAATCCATGCAGTTGAATGCTTAAATCTGTCAAACCATCTTCTAAAACAGGAATGTAAAGCCCTCCAACCCTTTAACTTTTTATTTATTGTTTGTTTTCTTAGTGGTCCTTTGGTGTATTGTTATGGGAACTTATGACACGAGGGGCACCACCTTATCCTGATGTAAATTCTTTTGATATAACTGTTTACTTACTGCAAGGAAGAAGGCTGCTGCAACCTGAATACTGCCCTGACCCACTGTAAGTAAATAGTTTGCAAAGGCTTCTGCAAATGCTGCTGATTCTGGTACTTTAGTAACTGAGACTGTGGGAGGAAAGAGAGAGTTGGGTTTTTTTTTCCTTTTATGTGATTTCATAATTGAACACTTCTTCTATTTGAATGGCAGGTATGAAGTCATGTTGAAGTGCTGGCATCCGAAACCCGAGATGCGTCCAGCATTTTCTGAACTCGTTTCAAAAATATCAACAATCTTCTCCACTTTTATTGGGGAACACTATGTTCATGTCAATGCTACTTATGTCAATGTCAAGTGCATTGCTCCCTATCCTTCTCTTCTATCATCACAAGACAACACAGACGTGGATGTTGACACATGACGGGTATGTCTGAAATTAAGGAAAATCCATTCTTCGTTGTATGAACAAAAAGGAAAACATTTTATCCACTAGTTTTTACTGCCCAGTCTTTGTGAGAACACTGTTGCACATGTTTATGTTGTTGCCCAAGTTGCACTAGTACAAGGACACAACATCATATTGTTTAAGAATACAGGATTCCATAAACTGTCACAGTAATTTCCAAGTATTTGGAGAACGCCATCAATTTAACAAATGGAAATGTGGTGTGCTACCCTCCAGAGTTAGTTCCCACAAGCTGTCATTAATGTATGCTCAGACCCCAAATGCCATGAAAGTAGAATATCAATCAGTATGGCTGGAAGGACTGTTACTGTGCTTTACTTTAAAGTACTTTACTTTACTTTACTTTACTTTAAAGTACTACTGTACTTTAGGATAACGAGCAGTGCAGAAATGGTTTCCACACAAAAGGCCAAGAAATGCAATGAGAATTACAAGAGTTTAGAATGTATTTTCATCCCACATGGAGAAAACTTTGGATTTTTGAACTACATCAACAAGGTTTCTAAGAACCTGGCAGCCAAGATAGCCAGCCTCATGGTGTCTCAACAGAAATCAAAATCAAGAAATGGTGTGCAGTAAAATAAGTATAGAAAAGTATGACTGAGTAAGAAGTGGGGGAGGAAGGCCAAGACAAAACTGGAACTGAACCTGGCAAGGGATGCAGAAAATTACAGAAAGGGCTTCTACAGTTATGTTAATCAGAAAAGTAAGGCCAAAGAAGGTGTTCCCCCTCTGTTAAACAGTGCTGGTGGACGAGGAGAAGTCTGAGGTACTTAACTTTCTTTCCTCAGTCTTCAATGGCAACATTTCTTCCCACACCCCTTGAAAGGATGGACAGCAGGATGAGGACTGGGAGAGCAAAGCCCCTCCCACTGTAAGTAAAGACGAGGTTTACGACCACCCAGGGAACCTGACCGTGCACAAGTCTATGGGACCTGATGAAATGTATCCCGGAGTTCTGAAGGAATTGGCTGATACAGTTGCCAAGCTGCTCTCCATGATATTCAAAAAGTCGTGTCAGTCAGGGAAAGTCCCAGGTGACTGGAAAAAGGGAACAGTGTACCTATCTTTGAGAACAAAGAACAGCCCTGGGAAGTACCAACCTGTCAGCCTCACCTCTGTGCCTGGGAAGGTCACGGAACAGATCCTCCTAGAAGGCACATGAAGGACAGGGCACACCTTCACCACCATTCAAGGCACCAGCACAGCTTCTCCAAGGGCAAGTCTTGCCTGACCAGCCTAGTGGCCTTCTACAATGGAGTGACTACACCAGTGGACAAGGGGAGGTGTACATATGTCATTTATCTGGGCTTCTCTAAGGTTTGTGCTACAGCCCCCCACAACCTCCTCTCTGAAGTGGAGATGGATTTGATGGGTGGACTGTAAGATGGATAAGAAGTTGTTTGGACAGTCACATCCAGAGGGTAGTGGCCAATGGCTCAGAGTCCTCATGGCCATCAGTCACAAGTGGTGTCCCTCAGGGGTCAGCACTGGGACCAGTGTCATTTAATATCTTCATTAATGACACCGACAAAAGGCACGAGTGCACGCTCAGCACATTTACAGATGACACCAAGCTGAGAGGTGCAGCTGACACACTTGAAGGATGGGATGCCATCCAGAGGGATCTGGACAAGCTCAAGAAGTGAGCTGGTGGAATGTCATGAGTTTTAACAGGACCAAGGGCAAGGTGTTGCAGCGCAACCCCTGTATCACCACAGGTTTGGGGATGAACAGATGCAGAGCAGCCCTGCCAAGAAGGACTTGGGGTGCATGAGAGGCTGCACATGAGCAGGCAAAGTGCCCTCCCAGCCCAGAAAGGCAATTGTATCCTGGGCTGCATCAAGAGCAGCGTGGCCAGCCGGTCAAGGGAGGGGATTCTGCCCCTTCTCCACTCTGGTGAAAGCCACCTGCAGTGCTGCATCCAGCTCTGGGGCCACATCACAGGAAGGACATCAATCATTAACCATGATGATTAGAGAATTGGAGCACCTCTCCAGTGGGGAAAGGCTGGGAGGATTGGAATTGTTTAGCCTGGAAGAGAGAAGGCTTTGGGATGACCTAATTGCGGCCTTCTGGTACCTGAAGGGAGCCTGCAGGAAAGATGGAACAAGACTATTTACAAAGGCATGTAGTGACAGAACAAGGTGGAATGACTTTAAACTGACAGACAGTAGGTTTAAATTAGATATTGGGAAAAAATTCTTCACTGTGAGGGTGGTGACGCACTGGAACAGGTTGTCCAGGGAAGTTGTGGACGCCCCATCCCTGGAATTTTCAACATTCATCAATATACCCACAGCAGAGGGGCTGGAACTATATGATTTTCAAGATCTCTTCCAACCTGGGCCATTCTATGATTCTCTGATTCTATGTCACACCAGTTCTCTGGTATAGTCAGACGGTACAAAAAAACAAAGGGAAAGTCATCTAGCTTAAAGCATTCCTAGTGTCAACATTATTCCAACATTCAGTCATTTATTTGTATCAAATGGTCTACAGCAACAGATCACTTGCTGAAAAATGAAAAGCCTCCATTTCTTTCAATAAACAGTGAATCACTCTGGGAATTAAAACTTGAAGGCTGCTGTCTGCTGAGTCACTTGGTGAGCAGCTGAAGCTCTGCCACCTACCCTAGGGTAGAGCTGCTAACAAAGGTGAGTAAGGAGCAGAGGTGTTGCAGGCAGCCCTGACCTAAAAAGACCCCACCATAGCAGGCATATCAGTAACTTCTTCATACCAGCCCTGAAGAGCAGAGAAGACTGATCAAAAGAAGAAATGGCTTTAGGCCCTCTTTACTCTCTTCTTGGATCACACAACCCAGTGAATTATCTACTTTTAATGCTAAGTTATGACCAGAGAAACAATTTTGAAAAGAGATAGTAAATAAAACTTCTATTCATTAGGGAAGAGTACTATAACTTTAGGGCAAACATCACATGTCATTTCTGTTCCTGTGGAATTCTGTGCATACTACTGTATAGTTTGTTTAGAATAGGATAGAACTGGGTTTGCTGGTGTAAACACATAAAGTATTCTATTTTTATATTAAAAAAAAACTTTATTTTTAATGACATTTACAAAGTTTGGTTAGGCCACAAAATACTGCACTGTGAACATTTCAGAAAATGTATGTCAATGTACATGATTCATAAACTGTAGCAACCTTAAGAAATACTGTGTAAATATTAAAAAGGAAAAGAACCAACTGTAAACACACTCCACCCTAAGTATAATATCTCCATTGCTGCAGGCCAACCATTTTAAGATTTTCAAAGAGAGGTAATGCAGATAAAGAACTGATATAAGGGAGATATATTGTTCTTGGGAGAGTGTGTTATAACTGAAAGATTTATAATGAGGGCAGAGTGGGTAGGCAAGCTATGAGCAGATAATATTGTATTGTGTTTCATCACCACTTTCATTTCAGAAATGAACTTTCATGTCTGCTGAGAGTGATACTAATTGTAGATTGCTCAAGGACAAAAGGCTTTGCTGCAGGCAAAAAAAAATCATCTCTGTGGTTGTTAAAACAGCTAAGGAAGTTTATGACATATAGATTTGGAGAAGTTACTCCAAACTTGTACGTACATGCTTAAGGAACGCTGCAATGTGAAACAGAGGACATTTTTACTATTTATGAACTTTTGCTTAATAAAGTTAATGTTGTGTCTGGGACACCTGTAAGAATATGTGACTCTGGTAAAGATTTGATGTCAGTAAGTTCATATATCGGCAAAGAGCTGAATGGTACTTATGTTTATAGTTGTTGTCATGACTGAATAAACATGTTATTAAAATGAATTATTGTAATACGTTAAACTCCTCGTGCTAGAATTACTGCTCACATTGACTGTTAAAGTGACAAGTCTGTCCGTATGCTTTTTCTGATTAACATGGGAAGAACAACCTGTGGAACTGTGGGAGAGAGAGGAAAAAAACTCAGAAGTCTAAAAATACACAGTGCAGCAATAAATCAAACACACGGTTCATCAGCCTCCTAGCCATAAATACATCAGAGAAAGATACCAAATATTTGTTGTGAACAACTATGGCATAGTTTGTTTGAATAGGAAGCCTCTTGCCTAACCACAGGCTCTACCCATGCAGAGCCTTACAATTCTTGAGTTGGGGTGGCATTTGAAGCTTGGAATTTTGCTACCATAAGGAGTACCTGCATGGCCCAACAAGGATGCCAGCACTTGTGTTTGGTAGCCAAGTCCCTAATCAGTCACAATCCACAAGAAATTTCAATTACCTGAATCTGTGTCGCTCAGGTTCATCCATCCTGGGTTTCATGTCTGTAAGGTGTTTTGTATCTATGACACCTGAAGAGAAAAATCCAGGGGACTCTTGGTTCTTCTGGAGCAAGAGAAGCCAGCCCCACCCTTCTCCCACGCATTTCCTCCCAGTTACATGAGATATCTCCCACTGAATTCACAAGTTTTCTTTTGTGAAGTGTACTTTAAGTGGGTACCCCACAAACACTGCAATACACACTGTCCAGTGCCTCTCTAGGCTTAGAGGCTTACCCTACAAGCTTATTTCTCCAGTGTCTTATCTCAGGGGAGCATTTTGTGTGTAACTCACTCAAAAATACTTCATTGCACATCATCTCATTGACAGCAGGCTGAACATGAGCCAATGCGTGCCCAGGTGGCCAAGAAGGCCAGTGGCACCCTGGCCTGGATCAGCAATAGTGTGACCAGCAGGAGCAGGGAAGTGATTCCTTTCCTGCACTCAGCACTGGTGAGGCCACACCCTGAGTGCTGTGTCCAGCTCTGGCCCCTCAATTAAGGAAGGATGTTGAGATGTGGAAATGTGTCCAGAGAAGAGCAACAAGGCTGGTCTGGAACACAAGTCCTGTGAGGAGCAGCTGAGGGAGCTGGGGTTGTTTAGCCTGCAGAAAAGGAGGCTCAGGGGTGACCTTATCACTCTACAACCACCTGAAAGCAGGCTGTAGCCAGGTGGGGCTTGGCCTCTTCTCCCAGGGAACCAGAGACAGGACAAGAGGGAATAGTCTTAATGTGGGCCAGGGGAGATTTAGGCTGGAAGAAGTTCTTCACAGAGAGTGATTGGGCATTGGAGTGGACTGCCCAGGAAGGTGGTGGAGTCACTGTCCCTGGAGGTGTTTTAAAAAAGACTAGATGAGGCACTCAGTGCCATGGTCTAGTTGACAAAGTGGTGTTAGGTCATAGGTTAGACTCGATGATCTCAAAGATCTCCAACCTAGGTAATTCTGTTATTTCAACTGATTAAAAACAGTATTTATATGCTCTT